ACTGGATTTGATAGAGTTGACTTCGTTTTTTGACTTGATAGACTGTGTTGTTTCATGTGGTAGTTGATTATTCAAAAACTAAGCTATTGACCTCCCCCCCATGCTAGGTAGGGGATGCGGTAGCTTAGCTTTTTGGTAATAAACTATAACGCATTTTTATTCATTTACCATCATGCACGCGTGCGTCTTTATATTCCACATTATACGTTATACATACTAAAGCATTCTCCGTGCATAATCCTCTATTCCACTTGTTTCATTACATTCATATAAGCATGCGTGTGGAATTCATGACTCAAGTAATTATCATTGCACCGAACAGCACGGTAAAAATATGCTGCGAACATGACAACAAACTATTACAATGAAGGAAAATCATGTGAAAGTAAGGAACAGGAAAGAATGACTATGAAATGAAGTGAGTACAAATAGGAAACCCTATGGGGTTGTACCCCCTATGGGATACCCCACTATAGCCTACAAAAACAAGTAAGCTATATGTTCTGACACACCCCCATAGGCAAAGTGGGGGAGAACAAGGGGTCACAAGACCAGTCAAGCAAAGCAAAGCAAAGCTCAGGGTGGATCACAAAGTCACCACGCATTCCGAGCACAAGTTCAAAGCCCAGAAGGCCAGTTCACATGCAAGATCATATATAGAGATATACAAGAGTCAAGCAAGCAAGAGCAAGAGTATATATAGGCGAAGGTACAAGCAAGGTCAAGAGGAGAGCAAGTGAAACAAGACAGGCACAAGACCCAACTGCGTGCAACAACGCTGATGATCACAAGGCGCAAGTGCCTTGGTGAAGACATCAGCAGTGTTGGCCTCAGAGGCCACGTACGCAAGTCGCAACTGTCCACGCTGCTGTAGCTCACGAGCAAGAAAGTAGCGGAGAGCAATGTGCTTCGTTCTGTGCTCCAGTCGCTGCTCTCGACACAAGGCCAGCATGGCCTTGTTGTCTACGTACAGGACTGGAGGAGAACGAGGCTGCTCTCCAAGGTCGGTCAGCAGGTAGGTGAGCCAGCGTAACTCCTGTGCAGCCATAGCCCCAGCGTAGATCTCAGGCTCACAACTGGAGCCGAGAACAGAAGACGAGCGGGTAGCCCGCCACGAGACAGAGCCGGAACCAAGGCTGAAGGTGTAACCCTGTGACGACCGCTGCGTAGCCTGGTCGTCAGCCCAAGAAGCGTCTGCGTGCCCAGTGAGGACCACTGGACTGCGCCCTCCAAGCACTAGCCCCATGCCCGACGTACTGCACAAGTAGCGCAACACCCTCTTCGCTGCAGCCATGTGCTCTGGTCGGTGTCTCCCAGGAGCAACAAAGCGTGCAAGAATGCTAAGAGGGTATGCGAGGTCAGGTCGTGTGCAGGTCATCAGGTACATGAGGCAGCCAACAAGCTCTGCAAACGGGCCACTCGACTCTACGGACTCATCCGAAGGCAGAGCTGAGAGCGAGTGGCGAGTAGGCAGAGGAGTGGCCTGAGGCGAGGAGTACGTGAAGCCGAAGCGCTGAAGGACCTGCTGCACCATGTGTGACTGAGTCAGGGTAATGGTGCGGCGTGCTCTGTCCCGGGTGATCTGCAAGCCAAGGTAGCTGCGTAGTTCACCCAGGTCACATAGGCGGTGGAGACGGGGGTGGCGGTGGAGACGGGGGTGGCGGTGGAGGCGGGGGTCGGAGTGGCTCGTCCCAGCGGAGCAGCTCTGGGGGTGGTCAGCGCCAGCAGCAGCAGCAGCAGCAGCAGCAGCCGCAGCAGCAGCAGCGTTCTCGTGCACTGACCTGGGTGAACTGCGCAGCTACCTTGGCTTGCAGATCACCCGGGACAGAGCACGCCGCACCATTACCCTGACTCAGTCACACATGGTGCAGCAGGTCCTTCAGCGCTTCGGCTTCACGTACTCCTCGCCTCAGGCCACTCCTCTGCCTACTCGCCACTCGCTCTCAGCTCTGCCTTCGGATGAGTCCGTAGAGTCGAGTGGCCCGTTTGCAGAGCTTGTTGGCTGCCTCATGTACCTGATGACCTGCACACGACCTGACCTCGCATACCCTCTTAGCATTCTTGCACGCTTTGTTGCTCCTGGGAGACACCGACCAGAGCACATGGCTGCAGCGAAGAGGGTGTTGCGCTACTTGTGCAGTACGTCGGGCATGGGGCTAGTGCTTGGAGGGCGCAGTCCAGTGGTCCTCACTGGGCACGCAGACGCTTCTTGGGCTGACGACCAGGCTACGCAGCGGTCGTCACAGGGTTACACCTTCAGCCTTGGTTCCGGCTCTGTCTCGTGGCGGGCTACCCGCTCGTCTTCTGTTCTCGGCTCCAGTTGTGAGCCTGAGATCTACGCTGGGGCTATGGCTGCACAGGAGTTACGCTGGCTCACCTACCTGCTGACCGACCTTGGAGAGCAGCCTCGTTCTCCTCCAGTCCTGTACGTAGACAACAAGGCCATGCTGGCCTTGTGTCGAGAGCAGCGACTGGAGCACAGAACGAAGCACATTGCTCTCCGCTACTTTCTTGCTCGTGAGCTACAGCAGCGTGGACAGTTGCGACTTGCGTACGTGGCCTCTGAGGCCAACACTGCTGATGTCTTCACCAAGGCACTTGCGCCTTGTGATCATCAGCGTTGTTGCACGCAGTTGGGTCTTGTGCCTGTCTTGTCTCACTTGCTCTCCTCTTGACCTTGCTTGTACCTTCGCCTATATATACTCTTGCTCTTGCTTGCTTGACTCTTGTATATCTCTATATATGATCTTGCATGTGAACTGGCCTTCTGGCCTTTAAACTTGTGCTCGGAATGCGTGGTGACTTTGTGATCCACCCTGAGCTTTGCTTTGCTTTGCTTGACTGGTCTTGTGACCCCTTGTTCTCCCCCACTTTGCCTATGGGGGTGTGTCAGAACATATAGCTTACTTGTTTCTGTAGGCTATAGTGGGGTATCCCATAGGGGGTACAACCCCATAGGGTTTCCTATTTGTACTCACTTCATTTCATAGTCATTCATTCCTGTTCCTTACTTTCACACTGGGAGCACCCGCGGCTGAGCAGGCGGCGGGGCCGCGTCGTAGCGGGCGGCGGGGCCGCGGCTGAGCAGGCGGCGGAGGCCGCGTCGTAGAGGGCGGCGGGGCCGCGGCTGAGCAGGCGGCGGAGGCCGCGTCGTAGCGGGCGGCGGGGCCGCGGTTGAGCTGGCGGCGTGGCCGCGTCTGTAGCGGGCGGCGGGGCCGCGTCGGAGCAGGCAGCGGGGCCGCGGCCGAGCAGGCGGCGGGGCCGCGTCCGAGCTGGCGGCGGGGCCGCGTCGTAGCGGGGCCGCGAGGAGGTGGCGGGGCCGCGACTAGACGGCGGGGCCGCGAAGGAGAGGCGGGGCCGCTCGAACGGTGGGCGGGACCGCTAGGAAGGGCGGCGGGGCTGCGTGAAGGGCAGCGGGGCCGCGTGGGGAAGGGCGACTCGGGGGGGTCGCTAAAAACGATCGCGCGCCTCGGGGCGCGCTTCGGTGGGCCCTAGGCGAAGTTCCCACAGGGAACCCGCTCTATACCATGTGAAAGTAAGGAACAGGAAAGAATGACTATGAAATGAAGTGAGTACAAATAGGAAACCCTATGGGGTTGTACCCCCTATGGGATACCCCACTATAGCCTACAGAAACAAGTAAGCTATATGTTCTGACAAATCATTCCCTAAAAGATAGTGAACAATATCTAAAACTTCTCAACATGCATAGTATGGGGAGCAGGCCCTCAGATTCACTTTAAGGGACGTTGATGCATCAGGGTCCCTGTGAACAAAACCCTGATTTTCAGTGTTCCTAAAAAAAAAACCCTGAATTTTCAGGGTTCCTAAAAATCAAAGCCTGAATTTTCAAGCAAATGAAAACCATGTGTACTAGTGTAGGCTTGACAAATCATGTTTGCTGAAGGGTTCGAACCAGGCCCTCACCTGTCGGTAGAAAATCACTAACCACTGAGACAGTTGATCCTCTAAACCATCAATTTTTTACGTATTCGTTTGTTAAAAACCTGACAATGTTGGTTGACAGGAAGGATCTGGAATGTGCATTCAGTGTACACTTCGATAAAAGACTGAAAAATCAGTGTCAACTATGAAATAAAGGCTGAAAAATCAGTGTCACAAAATTCTCAACACTGAAAAATCAGTGTAGGTACCAAAAAATCCCTGAAAAACAGGAATTTCAAGGAAAAATTCCTGATATCGTAGGGCCTGATGGGGAGGGTATTACTGCGGTTTACGATTTTTTTTCACGTTTTAATAAATATAAATATGAAAATAAATTTTGGCTAAATCGATTGTAAAGGGTTGCTTCGCAACCCAAAAAGACATCACTTCCTCTGGTAAGATGCTTGAAGGTTCCTAAATGATCATGCGACCATGGCTGAATTGAATTATCTTTTGACATAATAATTTTAAATGGGGCAATGACTAGCCTGCCATTAGATGGGGGAAATGGCAGCAATCGCCCAGCGAAAAGGCCAGGGCAACGTATTTGATGCTAAAAGTTTGCTGCGCAACAGAGTACCGTGCTGTCAAATTCCGTATCAAACGCTCTAATCTGCGTGCATCTATTCAGAAAACCGAATTCTCGTAATGCGTTACACAAGTGTTTATGTCTTCTCTTGTGCAAACACGATTTGAATGCTGGAATGAAGTACAATGTCATATATTTGGGCTTTATTTAAATATATATATATGCATTGCTATCATGTGGTTAAGTTGCATGAGAGGCGTTTTATAGAATCATCACGATTAACGAAAAGTTTTTTTTTTTTTAGTCCCAGTCACTTACGCCTGACCGCCTTCACTTATTTACTCCGCCGACACGCATGTTCATTCTCACCAACACCACTGTCGTCGTTAGTTTTCCTGGTGACATCCCGCGCTGTGTCCCCGTCGCGCATCTTGTCCCTTTTAGTCGCATCGCACAGCGTCGCAGACTGTCGGATTCATTTCGCATGTAGCATCACAGATCCCCGCAGCACATTCTGCTCGTCGCCATGCCGAGTTTCCTGTCGTCGTCGCAGCTTCAGTCGCACCGATCTGCGACGTCGCTGCCAACCACGGGTATTCTGCGATCTGCGGGATGGGACGACAGCAGCGACAAGCTCGAGGAGGAAAAGCGGCGTTTATTGCGGAAACTCAAAGGACAGGAGGTAAGCAGAGCGCACACCAGAGGTCGCTACCGACCACGGGTATTCTGCGATCAGCGGGTTGGGATGACTGTAGCGACAGGCTCGAGGAGGAAAAGCGCCGCCTGTAAGCTTAAAGGACAGAAGGTAAGATAACCACGGGTATGATCAGCGACGTCGCTACCAACGACGGGTATTATCCGATCAGCGGGATGGGCCGACAGCAGCGACATGCTCGAGGAGGAAAAGAGGCGCTTTTTGCGGAAACTCAAAGGCCAGGAGGTAAGTCAGGAGGTTGTTATGACCGGGCTTATTCTAACGGTTGTGATCGCATCGCGTATGCTGCGTGTTGCCCATACGGACGTCGCTTGTGAGGTTCGCACTTTTTCGATCTTGAAAGTCCTCCATCTGGTTTCCCCCGCCCCGATTTGCCCCCGATCGCGCAGTCTCTGCTGTCGCGGGTAACCGCGGAGGGTGTTTTTGAGATTTTCCAACAATACCCTTTGACTTTTTGGTTATTCTGCCTTCCCGATGCGCCCCTGATCGCGCAGTATTTGCTGTCAAGGGTGACCGCGGGCCGACTCGCACTCCCCGATGGCGGCGCGAAGCTGTCCGCGCAGGTGCGCAAGCTGCACGCGCAGCTGCAGCGGGTCGAGTCGCTGCTAGCGGCACACGCGGCGCAGCAGGCGGCGGGGGATGCGGACGAGCAGGAAGCGGACAGCGCGAGTGTCGCGTTTAGGGTTTCGGGGAGGAGAGAGAGTGGGGGAGGGAACGTGAAAGGCGATGCTGGTGCTGTTACTGCTGCTTCGTCTGGTGTGAGCGGCATGAGAGGGGATGAGGGAGAGGCGATGATGGGGAGGATGTTGGAGGATGGAGCAGATTCGACGACGAGTCGTGTGGCAAGGCGGGAGGGTGAGATGATGGGAGGGGACAGCGGAGCAGCAGGAGAGGATGGGATGATGCGAGGGGAAGGCGGAGTGGGAGGGGTGGATAGGGCTGGAGGAGAAGGCAGAATGGCAGAGGTGGTGGAGGAAGGGGTGGGGGATAGCAGCGGACTGGTGTCAACCGTTGCTGTTGCTGCAGTTACTGTCACTACCTCTGCTTCTATGGACGCCGCTGGTGCTGCTGCTGCTACATCAGGCGGGGCAGCAGGCGGAGCAGAAGGCGTGCCCGCAGGAGAAAGGGTGGCGGAAGGAGCAGAGCGCAAGGAAAGTGCAGAGCGCCGTGGCACACAGCAACGAGAAGGGGACATCACACAACGGAAGAGGGAGATGTACATGTACAGAGACACAGCCGCGGACAGCCAAGGGGACAGCACAGGCTCACTCCTCAAACCATCTATGAAGCCGTCCTCTGGTCCAGGTGCATCGGTATCAGGTGTATTGGTATCCTCTGGGCTAGCTGCATTGGGTGCATCGGTGCGCACGCGCACGTCGTCCTTCCAGCCGTCCTGCTCGTCTGCCGCCATGCGCCGCCTCTGGTCGCTGCACCGTGCGGTGGAAACCACCATCGACGACCCGGCTCTGGAAGCTGCGGGTCGGCTGGAACAAGGCGGGGGTGCAGGTAGCGCAAACGGTATTGGCTTTGCCGGAGGTGCTGTGAGTGCTGGGAACGGAGGGAGCGGAGGGAGAGAAGGGAGTGCAGGGAGCGCTGGCACGAGGGTGTCTCTCCCTGCTGGTTCCAGCGCCCCTCGTGTGGGGTCGGACGGAAGGATGTACCGGCTTCACAATGGAAAGCTGGAGCGCGTGGGGGCAGATGAAAAGATTTCGCCGGAAGGAGTTCAGGCAGCCCGGGAGAAGGTCAGGAGGGACTTGATGTGGGAGGCGGACCGTGCAGCTGTCCGGCTGGGCAGAGTGTTAAAGATTGGTGATGGTGATGGTGATGGTGGCGGTGGTGGTGTGGGGAATGGTGATGGCAGGGGTGCTGTGCACAGTGCTCAGCTCAAATCTTCTCAGGATATGATAGATGTGGCTGCTGGGGCTGCTGGGGGGGCTTCTGGGGGAGCCTCCGGGACTTCCGAGGCTGCCGGGGCTGCTGGGGCGCCTGGGCGGTGTGCTCGAGTGATATCAGTGCTGGAGGCGGCTCAGCTGCTGGCGGAACAACGGACACGGATTCGAGTGAGTCGCCAGCTTTTGTGCTCGATATCTGCTCCTGCGTGATTATTGGGGTGTGTGTGTTCACACCGCGCACATGCATGCGTGTGCGGATACGAAGGGCAAAAGCGGTGGAAGTTCTATCAGTTTTTGTTTTCGTGTTGTTGTGCTCAGGAATATGAAGAGAAGATCATGGCATCTGCAGGAGGTGGCACTTCTGACTTGAAGCGTACCAGTAGGTTGGACTTGAATCCCCCCGATCATGACGAAGGTGCATGGGTTGAAGAAGATCCAGCAGATGATTTTGAGGATGATGATGCTTTGGATTGCGAGGATGGGAGAGAGCTTTGATAATGACTTACCAATTAGGGCTTTTCTGTTTGAAGGGCGTTTTTGTGTAATTTAGAGCTTGCTCATGGTGCCTAGTTCTTGTTGTAAGCACGTAATAAATGCTAACGAAGGGCAATTGACGCCTTCTTACTGTACTTTACTGTGTAAAATTCGGACCACTCCAGCTGGCTCCTTGTCGCGGCGCCTGGAGTGTTGACGCTTCTGTGGCCGCAACAACACACCGAGCCAAATTCTGCCACCCCATGCGGTTGACACTGTACTCTGTACTACTGTAACGGGCCACCACTACGGAGCCTCGGCGCCTCGCAGTGGCGGTGGTGGTTGGTCCTTCTGCTAGGCTCGGCGATGCACTGTGGGAAATCTGGGCGACGTGACAAGCAAACCAATAGCCCGTACCTCCACGCACTGTTGGCACAACTTGGCCCATGGCGCTCACTTGTCGCACGTTCCGCTGGCACTGAGTAATAGTGCAACCCTAGCTTGGTGAATGTACAATTGATGCCCGACCAGTGCACGCGAATTTGCCATGTACCGGATGGAAACGCTGCCCCCGAGCTCGAAACCCCTGCTTGCTGCTCCCACAGTACAGGCACATGGATGGCTAAGTACAGTCCACGCGGTCCGGCCCACAATACACGTGCAGTCCACAACAAGGCTTGCCGACCCATGTTTGCCTTGTTTCTAGGCCAGGAGCCAGGCAGGCGAAATGAATGGACGAAAACTCTGTGGTTTCGTGAACACATTCGCACACCTGCCCCGCCACCTAAGCTAGGATCATCGTGCGTGTAACAGACACTTAGGCCGCTTCACGCTGCCACGTGTACTCTGCATGAGCGGGATACAAGCGCATTAACAGCCAGGCGTTGTTCGCCTACCCCACGTCAGACTTTCGACCGTATGGTAACCCATCCATGACACGTCAGTCGCCGTCGCACGGTACCGCCCCAACCTGCGCGACGTCCTGGGGTGGCTCTCGGATGCATGGATGAGCGTCGGTGCGCGCACCATCCAGAGGTGCTGGTGGCGCACTGGATGCCTGCCGCTGTCGTGGTCGCTGGAGTTGACCCATGTTCACGACGACGAGCCGACCCCGCATCCCTATCCCGAGATCGAGCTCGATGAAGACATCAACGACGTCGGAACTCTCATTAGCTCCCTCGGTCTCGGGAACGGCGCGATGACCGCCGCGGAATTCGTGGCGATCGACGACGGTGAGCCAACGTCCGCCGAGACGGCCGCGGAGCTTCTGTCTGATGAGACGGAAGCGCCCTTGGTGGCGACGCTATAGAGGGCGCCGACCACGATGCAAGCGGTGTACGACGATGCGGACCCCGTGGGCCGTGAAGCGCGACGCACTGCCCGGGCGGCCTGTGAGATGCTCATCGGCTATGCGCGCGCCGTGAGCGTGACGCCGCGCGACCTCTGCCACCTCTTCGACATACGCAATCCCGTCATCATCGAGCGCATGGAGCGGGCAAGCCTCGCCATTAATCTCAACATGGCCCCGCCGCGTGTGCTCACTCCGGGCTCAACTCCCACGCCCGACACCCCTCGTCCGCGCGGCCGTGTGCTGCCTGGCTGGATGACCCAGCCATCCCGCCGGCAGCAGCTGCTGGACGGCGGTGTTGGCGTCGCCATGGGCGGGTACGTTGAGGCGGCTGAGTGGATGCGCCTGTGAGCTGTTTTTCCAGCCCTCTGTGCCGGCGTTGAAGACATCCATGCTGTGTTGGGATTGTTTTCCCAGCTGCACATTTGTGCGTGTGGTGATGTGTTTCAGGGTTGGGGCTGCGTGACCATGTGGGAGATGGTGATTGGTTAGGCTTTGAGTGTTGGTTGTTTCAATCTAAGCTGAACAATTGTTGACGCTGTTTGGTGACTTGTTTTTGCTTTCGTGAAGTATTCAGTAACGCGCATTTGTGACAATTAGAGCCACCCGTCACTGTTCCGGAATGGACAAATCGGGTGGTAACCATGTGCATGTTAGATGCACGCGCCAAGCCTGACGAAACAAGCGAACCCCCTACGAAATGTCGGTTTAGCATACAGACCCCCTTCACAAGGCAACCGGGAGGGGCTCTAACGAGCATTAGCTGTACTGTACAACAAACCACTGCATTAGGAGGAATGGCTCGGCTTGTCCTAATGCAACTGAGTGTGTGCGAATTAGGTCTTTTTATGGGAGGAATGGGCTCCGCCTGTTCTGACTGCAGCGAGTTTTTAAGAGTGTCGCGAGAAGTGTCGACCCTCTTTTCCCGTTGCATGCGAGGCAGTCGTACTAGTTTTTCCGAAAGAACGAGAGCCTACTGTCGCAATTCCAGCTTGTATCAAAGCACCTGATACAGACGAGAGGCTACGGGCAAATGGGTGATTGCAGCGTGAAATATAGCAGCAGAAGGGCACCGCCTTGTCGTGACGCATCGACGGCGATTGGTATTGCTCAGTAGCTTGCGCGCAGCAAGGGGAAACGGACTGAGCGGGTGTCCGCGCCTCGTGGCGGAGAGGGGAGGCGCTGAGAGTCCGTGCATTTACGCAATGACGGGGAAAGAGGGGGAGCAACCTCAAAGTTGCGGGCCCCCGCTATAACGCTTCGTACCAAACGTCCTCGTTGGTTCTGAACTTTAGGGAGTCAGCCTGTAGCACCTCGCTACCCACTGGGTCAAAACGAGGGTGTTATTTGGCGCAGCGGAATGCCCATTAACACTTAGCCCACAGGCGTTACACAGCCCCTGCAGGGACCTCGTGCCAACCCTTCGTGTAAGGCCGCAGGCGGCCTTACAACACCGGCGGCGGCGGATGTAGTAAACGTGGATTTAACGTAGTAATCGCCGCCGCGAACCCACAGCTTCGCGAGCGCTGTGCGCTTCAGCTGAATTTCTGGGACAAGCAGCGCCCCAGAGTCCCGTGAAACGGAGGTCCCAGCTGAACGGATGATGGGCGGCGGCGGCGGTTGCGGGGCCTGGCGTCGGCAGCGGCTGCATCATCGTGGCGCGCCATCGGCCAGTCGGCTGTTTGCTGCGGCGTTGCTGATCGCCCTGCTCTGCACCGCGCCGATCGCGCCGTGCGCTGCGGCGTCAGGTAACCAGGGAAACGCAGTGCGGTCGGTCGCTGGTTGGGCAGTGGAAAATTTGGGGGTGTTGAAGGGGAGTGAAAGGGGGATGAGGGATGGGGGACGATTAATATGAGAGCGTTGTGACAGTAAGTGGGGTGCATCATTATTCTTTCTCAAACCTTGACCCTAATCGCCCCCTAACTTGAATCATCCACCCACCCGAATGAACACCCTCATCCTAATAAACCCCTCACCTGAATCATTCTCTCACGCCCATCACTGTCTCACATTCTCATGTTCAGGTTGCCCACTTTCACGGCAGGTGCACTTGCATGCATGCGTGGGTGGAGGCATGCATGGGGACATGCATGGGGGCATGCATGGGTGCATGCATGGGTGCATGCATGGGTGCATGGATGGGGGCATGGATGGGAGCATGGATGGGGGCATGGATGGGGGCATGGATGGGGGCATGGATGGGGGCATGGATGGGGGCATGGATGGGGGCATGGATGGGGGCATGGATGGGGGCATGGATGGGGGCATGGATGGGGGCATGGATGGGGGCATGGATGGGGGCATGGATGGGGGCATGGATGGGAGCATGGATGGGGGCATGGATGGGGGCATGGATGGGGGCATGGATGGGGGCATGGATGGGAGCATGGACGGGGGCATGGATGGTTTGGATGGTCACGAGCCCACGCCAGCCTGATTTTTGAGACGTCTCAAGACATGAGCCCAAGTCAAACTGATTTTTGAGGCGCCTGAATATCCCCCCCCCTCCTTCCCCCTACCCCCTTTCCCGCCCCTCTCCTGCTCCTGCTTGGGATGCCCACCTCTGGAGCAGGTGCATGTGCGCGCGGGCGTGCATGGGTCAGCAGCACCAGGCTGCTGCGGGCTACCTAATCCCCCCATTTTCCCCTGCCCGCCTCTCACGTGCCCGATCCTGCTCTTCTCAGGCTGCCCACAGCTGGAGCAGGTGCATGTGCGTGCGGGCGGGCATTGGTCAGCGGCACCAGGCTGCTGCGGCGACTCTGCCACTCCCTGTGGTGCGCTCCGTGCCCCTGCCACCAGTTGAGCCTCGCTGTGCTTGCAGCCTGCTGCCACGTGATAAAAGTAGAGTTTTGAGACGTCTCAAAACTGTGCTTGCCGCCTGCTGGTTTTCATGTTATCCTTCTGATTTCGTCTGTGCAGCTTTTTGCTGACTAACTCCCTCAATTGCTTCACCTTTTTGCTCATGCGCTGCTCTTGTGTTTTATGCTGTGTGTGTGTGTGTGTGTGGGCATGTCTGGTTGCATGCCATGCCATGCCATGCCATGCCATGCCATGCAATTCCATGCCATGCCATGCCACGCCATGCCATGCCATGCCACGCCATGCCATGCCATGCCACGCCATGCCATGCCATTTCATGCCATCGTGAATGTGTGTGCTTGCAGGCACAATGGAGCTTGGCCTATCAATGTGAGTGGAACAACTCGCATTGGATAAAACAACCCGCCTTGCATCCGCAACCCACCCTACATGCCCTCAACCGCTCTCCACTCCTTTGTCTCTCTCATCCCCCCTCTGCACCCCCTGCTCATTCCGCTCACCTCACCTTGTGCTGTTTGTTGTGCATCTACACGCCCCGCCAGTCACCTCACTTCTCCCATTCACCAGACAGCTACACAGCACCCCCAAATACCGCCATGGTCACTCACTCACTCACGAGCCACACTCCTTGATGATAAATCCGCTCCACTCACATTCTTGGTCACCCAGGCCGTCTGAAACGTCTCAAACCTGAGGAAAAAAAAAAAAAAAAAAAAAAAACACGGTATTTTTTAAACTGCTTTACAATTTCTCACAGGAGCCTATGACACTGTACCGTATTTTACGGTAAATATTTCAAAAACACGACCGTATTTTATGGTAAATATTTCAAAAACAAGACCGTATTTTTTAACCATGCCCGCAATCCCTACACCCTTCACATCGCGTCCCCATTCTTGCTCACCCATGCTCAACCATCCTCTCCCCCACCCCCAAGTCGCCCCCAGCAGGCGCCCTCCCCTCCCTCCCTCCCAACCATGTTTCCTTTGCTCACCCATGCTCGCTCCCACCCCACAGGCTGCCCTCATCAGGCGGCGCTCTGCTTCTCTCCCCGGGTTCTCACCGCCTCCCCACTGCTGGCCTCGCTCTCGGTGGCCAATCCATCTCTCTCCTCGCTGCTCTCCCCTCCCCCCTTCCCAACCCTCCTCCTCCTTCTCCTCCTCCTCCCCTCGGTCCCTCTCCTCCTTCTGTCCCCGCCGCCCCAATTATTGACTGTGGAGGGGGGGCTTGCCTTTTGGCCGTCTGTGATCCAGCCACTGCCGTGGTGCCATGTGGCCACGCGCGATTGGTCCTCGCAGGAATCACTGTGCGGAACGGCCGGGCAGGTGCGCCACGTGGCGGCTGTTTATTGGTTGAGAATCAGGCCGTCCACGTCAGCAATGCCTCCTTCACCGGATGCTCTGCGGCCAGTCACGGCGGGGCGATCTCGGTCCTCAACGCGCCACGTGTCACGCTCTCGCGCGTCCACGTCAGCGCCTCATCCGTCTCCACCCACTCAGGAGGCGGTGGGGGCGTGGCGTTACGAAACGTGACCATAGCGAGCGTGACAGACTGTTGGTTCAAGGGGTGTTCTGCGAAGGCTGGTTTTGGGGGAGGTGTTTACTGCGAAGCCAGTAGGGTGGAGGTGCGGGGAGGGGAATTCTCGCGCTGCTCGGCTGATGCAAATGGAGGGGGGCTGGCAACGAGTGGGTGCTCTGGGCGCATTGATGGCGTCAGGTTCTTCGATAATAAGGTGTGCGTGGTGATCTGTGGTTGGGATGGGCGGGTGGGTAGGGATGGGCAGGTGGGGCGGGGATGGTGTGGGATGGTGGGTGGAGGGGGGCTGGCAACGAGTGGGTGCTCTGGGCGCATTGATGGCGTCAGGTTCTCCGATAATAAGGTCAGTGGGGCTGGGGATGGTTGGGTAGGGATGGGTAGGGATGGGTAGGGATGGGTAGGGATGGGTACGGGTTGGTCAGTGGTTGAGCACCAGAGGGTGCTCTGGGCGCATCGATGGCGCACACTTTTCCCTCACTCCACTTTCTCTCCTCCCCCACTCCTTCCCTCCCTCCCTCCCACCCCAATCAGGCCACAATCGGGGGTTGTATGGCTGACACATGCTCCCCCGCCCTCGCCGTCTCCCACTGTTCCTCCCTCACCCTCTCTTACTGCTCCTTCCTCCTCCCTCCCTCTTCCCCATCTCATAACTTAGGCTTAGAAACGATACATTAGTAATGAGCTTGAAGCTCTTTAAGTACATCCAAGAAGGGGAGGGAATGGATGGGGAAGGGAATCGGGGGCAATCCATAGGGATTGGGGGTAATCCCAAGGCAATCTCCAATTGGTGGGTTGGAGATTGCTTGGAGATTACATTTGAGTTTGGTTGGGATGTAGGTGTACACCCAACCAAACACAATGTGCAAACCACACTACTCTAGGATATAGAAAATACAAAGTACAAAGTGTGAGATTGAAGGCTAACACTAACACCCCATCCTCCCTCCCTTCCACCCCCATCAGGCCACCATCGGGGGCTGTATGGCTGATACCTCCTCTCCCTCTCTCACCGTCTCGCGCTGCTCCTTCCTCTCCTGCGTCGCCACCAACCCACTCCTCGACGCATACACCTCCTACATGCGTGGCGCCGCAATCCACGCCAACCACACCACCTCCCTCTCCGTCTCCCTCTCCTCCTTCCGCAACGGCTCGAGCTTCATGGGTGGGGCCGGGATCATGGCTTTAAGAGTCGCCAACCTTACGGTTACTGCCTGCGAGTTTCACGGTAACCGCGCGATGACCCCGCAGGGCGGCGGAGGGGCGGCACTGGAAGGCCAGGGCTCGACCATCACCGTTCGGCACTCGCGGTTTTTCCACAACATTGCAGAATCCCCCATGATGGCCTTTGGAGGAGCGGTCTATGTGATAGACTGCCCGAGCTTTCTTTCCAACTGCTCGTTTGTGGGGAACGAAGCAAAGCACACGACAGACGCGGCGACGGGTCAGGGGGGGGCGCTGCTGCACTCGTGGGGAATGATGGGGAGCGATCCTGTGTGGATGGAGGTGGAGGATTGTGTGTTTGAGGAGAATCGGGCGCGGTTTGCGGGCGGAGCGAGCTTTGAGAGCGACGCCGTGATCAGGCGCACGCGGTTCATCCGCAACGCGGCGTCTTTCCGCACTGCCGGCGCTGGTACGCGGTGTTGAGACTGGCTCGAAACAACACTTTGATCACGCAGCTTTGAGAGCGAGCGAGCGACGCCGTGATTAGATGCATGCGGCGTCTTTCCGCCCTGCCGGCGCTGATACACGGTGTTGAGACTGGCAAGCTCTGCTTACATGCAAGCTCGGCTTACATGCAAGCTCGGCTTACCACAAACACCACTAGGTTTTTAAGAATTCTCAAACACCACTAGGTTTTTTAGAATTCTCAAAAAGCTGCCGGAGCTGGTATGCAGTGGCCGCATGCAAGCTCGGCTTACCATCACCACCTCTGCAACATTCCTCTGCAACATTCCTCTGCAACATTCCTCTGCAACATTCCTCTGCAACATTCCTCTGCAACATTCCTCTGCAACATTCCTCTGCAACATTCCTCTGCAACATTCCTCTGCAACATTCCTCTGCAACATTCCTCTGCAACATTCCTCTGCAACATTCCTCTGCAACATTCCTCTGCAACATTCCTCTGCAACATTCCTCTGCAACATTCCTCTGCAACATTCCTCTGCAACATTCCTCTGCAACATTCCTCTGGCGCTGGCATGCCGTGTCGAGACGTCTCAAAACGCTTTCAGGATAGTTGGCGCTGGCATGCCGTGTCGAGACGTCTCAAAACACTTTCAGGATAGTTGGCGCTGGCATGCCGTGTCGAGACGTCTCAAACACTTTCAGGATAGTTGGCGCTGGCATGCCGTGTCGAGACGTCTCAAAACACTTTCAGGATAGTTGGCGCTGGCATGCCGTGTCGAGACGTCTCAAACACTTTCAGGATAGTTGGCGCTGGCATGCCGTGTCGAGACGTCTCAAAACACTTTCAGGATAGTTGGCGCTGGCATGCTGTGTCGAGACATCTCAAAACGCTTTCAGGATAGTTGGCGCTGGCATGCCGTGTCAAGACGTCTCAAAACACTTTCAGGATAGTTGGCGCTGGCATGCCGTGTCGAGACGTCTCAAAACACTTTCAGGATAGTTGGCGCTGGCATGCCGTGTCGAGACGTCTCAAAACGCTTTCAGGATAGTTGGCGTTGGCATGCTGTGTCGAGACGTCTCAAAACGCTTTCAGGATAGTTGGCGCTGGCATGCTGTGTCGAGACGTCTCAAAACGCTTTCAGGATAGTTGGCGCTGGCATGCCGTGTCGAGACGTCTCAAAACACTTTCAGGATAGTTGGCGCTGGCATGCCGTGTCGAGACGTCTCAAAACACTTTCAGGATAGTTGGCGCTGGCATGCCGTGTCGAGACGTCTCAAAACGCTTTCAGGATAGTTGGCGCTGGCATGCTGTGTCGAGACGTCTCAAAACGCTTTCAGGATAGTTGGCGCTGGCATGCCGTGTCGAGACGTCTCAAAACACTTTCAGGATAGTTGGCGCTGGCATGCCGTGTCGAGACGTCTCAAAACACTTTCAGGATAGTTGGCGCTGGCATGCCGTGTCGAGACGTCTCAAAACACTTTCAGGATAGTTGGCGCTGGCATGCCGTGTCGAGACGTCTCAAAACACTTTCAGGATAGTTGGCGCTGGCATGCCGTGTCGAGACGTCTCAAAACGCTTTCAGGATAGTTGGCGCTGGCATGCCGTGTCGAGACGTCTCTCAGCAGAGCATCCCTCACCGCTCCTCCTCCGTATCCTCTCACCCCCCTCCTCTCTCTCCTCCCCTCCCTCTTTCTCCCTCTCCCCTTCCGTGCAGCGCTCTTCTTGCGTGAAGCAACAGTGGACGGCTGTGAGTTCACTGGAAACACAGTGCTGCACAACGGAGGGGCCATAGTAACCTGGGGCGTGGGGAGTTGACTTTTGAGTTGACTCAAAAGTCAACTGTGAGTTCACTGGAAACACAGTGCTGCACAACGGAGGGGCGAGGGGGCATGGCCACTGGGGAGGGTAGGCGCCTCAGCACACCCCCAATGTTCCTCCCCCACCCTTCCCATCCCCACGCAGCGCTCTTCTTGCGGGAAGCAACAGTGGACGGCTGTGAGTTCACCGGAAACACAGTGCTGCACAACGGAGGGGCCATAGTAACCGGGGGCGTGGGGCAGACCAACATCACCCGCACCACCTTTCTTAACAACACTGCTCTCTCGGGGGAGGGCGGGGCGATCTACGTGCAAGAGGTGGGGCAAAGGGTGTTTGGGGGGGAGAAAGGGCAATACGTACAGGAAACGTGGGGGTAACGAACATCACTCGCACCGCCTTTCTCAACAAGACTGCCCTCTCGGGGGAGGGGGGGGGGGGGATCTACGTGCAAGAGGTGGGGCTAGGGGTGTTTGGGGGGGATTATCCCTTTTTCCCTCGTCCCGTCACCTCCCTCCCCAACACCTCAACACCTTCATCTGCTAATCCAATCCATTGTGCAGGCAACCACAGGCACGGCAACCACAGGCACGGTCCTCGTGTCCCACTCGCTCTTTCTCAACAACTCCTCTCTGCTCCCCGCTCTTCTCCTAATGGAAATGGCACCCTTTTTCTATTGATCTTTTCACTGCATTGTGCAGGCAACCACAGGCACTGTCCTCGTGTCCCACTCGCTCTTTCTCAACAACTCCGCTCTGCTCTCCAAGGGAGGAGCCATTGCTTTCTCTGGCAACATACTCGCTATAGACAACTCCACTTTCGTTAACAACTCCGCCCTGGTCAAAGGAGGAGCGATATCAGGTAGGAGAAGCACATGGAAGGTAAAAGAAGCTATGCACTGCTGGGGGGTTCCCAAAATGCTGGGGAACAGAAGCTATGCACTGCTGGGGGGTTCCCAAAATGCTGGGGAACAGAAGCTATGCACTGCTGGGGGGTTCCCAAAATGCTGGGGAACAGAAGCTATGCACTGCTGGGGGGTTCCCAAAATGCTGGGGGACAGAAGCTATGCATTGGGATGATTTTTAAGGCGCCTAAAAAATCACATGGAAGGGAACAGAAGATTTGCAGTTGGATGGAGTGGTTATTATGAGAGAAATCACTCCCGGTAACAAACTGAGATGGATTGAGTGGATACGAGAGTGGGGAACAAACTGAGATGGATTGAGTGGATACGAGAGTGGGGAACAAACTGAGATGGATTGAGTGGATACGAGAGTGGGGAACAAACTGAGATGGATTGAGTGGATACGAGAGTGGGGAACAAACTGAGATGGATTGAGTGGATACTGGAGTGGGTTCTACTTTTCCACATGAGTTGCTAGAGTTTGAACTGAGTTGTACGTTCGGATCTTAATCAATTGTTTCGAGGGTTACTTTTTTTCACTGGTTGACTATCGTCCCTTTGCTAAAGGCGACCTTGCCTACTGCTGCCCTTCTTCATGAGCACAGATCTATCTTACCCTCTCTTCCCTTCTCCAGCCTCTTGAATGCCCTTTCACCCTCCATTTGCACCCATTCTCCCCGCCTTCCCTCACGCACTCGCACTTCCTTTTTAATCGTCCAATCTGGGCAGCGGGGCGATTTCCCTCTCCTCACAAGCAGCAGTCGACTGCTCGCTCCTCCACTGCTGCCCCCTTTGTTCCAGATCTCTACCCCTTTCACCTCCATTTACACCCCCTTCCCCCCTCCCTTCTCCTCCCTCCCCCCTCCCCCCTCCCCACTCCTCCCTCCACCCTCCCCCCTCCACCCTCCCCCCTCCCCCCTCCTCTCCCCCCTCCCCTGTCAATGGCACACTCTATCCTGTCTGTCTCCCTCCTCACTGTCTATCATCTTTCTCATCATCCCCTCCCCCTCTCCCTCGCACCCCTCCCCTCCTTCCCTGCATCAGTTGAAGGCACCTCTACAGCAGCAACCAACGGCACGCTCTACCCTGTCACTGTCTCCCACTCGCACTTCCTCTCCAATCGGGCCGATCTGGGGGGGGGAGCAATCTCCCTCTCCTCCCAAGCAGCACTCAGCGCACTCAACTGCTCCCTCCTCCACTGCCGCTCCGGCAGCGGCGGCGCCGTTCTGATCGAGGACTTTGGACGGCTCAGATTGCACCGCAGCGAGTGCTCTTGGAACCAGGCACCATCCGGGGGAGGCTGCATCTCCCTGGGTGAGTTCGCCACCGCTACAGTCACGTCGTCTAACATCACGGGAAACGACGGCGGGAACGAGGGCGGAGCGCTGCGAATGACCGGCCAAACGCTCCTCTCCCTCTCCTCGTCTCTCCTCTCTAACAACTCCGCTTTAGACGGAGGGGCCCTGTGGGCGGAAATGAACGCCCAGGTTAAGGTCTCCGGTTCGAATCTCACCGGAAACACAGCGAAAGTGCAAGGCGGGGGGGTGTATGCCATCCACAAGTCCAACCTCTCTATTTCCGACTCTCAGTTTGTGGCGAACCGGGCTTTGGTGGGCGGTGGATTGCTAGCGGAAGGAGAGGTGGTGGTTTCAGTGACCGGGAAATCGGGATTCGAGCGGAATGAGCAACACGGTGTGGTGCTGATGGGGCAGACCAAGGCGAGGTTTCAAGACACGGGGTTCAGAGGGAACGGTGCGGGAGGGTCGAGGGACGGCGGGGCGGTTCAGGTCTCGGATGTGGCTGTGGTGGTGCTGATGGGGGGGGTGGTTATGGAGGGGAACTGGGCGAGGAGAGGTGGGGCGGTTTTTGCTGATGCTGACAGCAGCCTGACTCTGTCGGATGATTTGTTGGGAGCTGCAGCATCAGGGGGAGCAGCAGGGTTAGGAGCAGCAGGAGGAGTGAAAGGAGCAGCAGGGGAAGGTTTAGCGGGAGGCGCGGAGGCAGCAGGGCCATCCTCGTTACAAGCCCGGCTGCGGCCGTGGCTTATAAGGAACCGCGCAGAACACCAGGGGGCCGGAATATTCGCAGGAGGCAACACCACCATAACCATCGCAGGCGCCACATTCACCAACAACAAAGCCGGCGAATCGGGAGCAGGAATGGCTGTTCTAGAACAGGCTCACGGCACCCTCACGGCGTGTGCTTTCAAGAGGAATGTGGGCGGTGGGGAGGGCGCGGGGGTGTATATCAACCGGGGAGGGGCGGCGGGTGGGGAGGTGGGAGATGCTGGGGCTGGATCGGTGGCTGTGAGTGAGTTTCTGCCCCCAGGTGCTGGATCTGTGGATGGGAGTGGAGCTGATGGCAACACTGACATGAGCAACAGCACTGCAACTGCTACTGCTGCTGATGCTGCTGCTGCTGCTGCCACTGGTGTGGCTTCAGCAGCAGCAGCAGCATCAGCAGGGGGTGGAGGCCTGCTGCCGTTGGCGGTGTCTCGTCTGGCTTTCCAAGGCAACACTGCGGCCAGCACGAGTGTGGCTGCTACCCTGGGGGGCTCTGCCTTTTTCGACGCCACCTTTGAGCCGTCCAAGCGCTCGCCCTGCCTCCGCTGCCACCGCACCGACCCCAGGGACACCTTGGGCTCTCCTCCAACTTCCTTTATGATGTGGTGAGTGTGTGGGTGATTGGGACTTGCATGTCTAGGCTCAACAACCCTCGGTGGCCCTGCCTCCGCTGCCATCGCACCGACCCCAGGGACACCTTGGGATCTCCACCCACTTCTTTCATGATGTGATGAGTGCGTGGGTGAGTGAGTGAGTGAGTACGTGAGTGAGTGAGTGAGTGAGTTAGTGAGTGCGTGAGAGGCGGCAGCAGAGAGTGACACTCTGTAAGCCATAGGCCCTCTGGCCTTCCAAGGCAACACGGCGGCCAGAACGAGTGGGACCCGTGGGACCTTTGAGTCGACTCAAAAGTCGGCCTTCCAAGGCAACATGGTAGTCAGAACGAGTGGGTCCGGTGGGACCAGCACAAAAAGGAATGGTACGACCACCCCTCTCCACCCCTTTCGACCCCTCTCCTGTGTGCTGTGCGCTGTACCTTCACCAGGTGGGAAGGCAGTGGGGAGCGGGACACAGGCAGTGAGGCGAGGTACAGGGTGAGGGGGGACATGGCCAAACCCGTCTCCTGCACCGCTCTCCATCCCGCTCCACCCCTCTCCACCCCTCTCTTGTGCCGTCACCAGGTGGGAAGTGGGGAGCGGGATGCAAGCGGGGAGGCGCAATACAGGGTGAGGGGGGACATGGCCAACCCCGTCTCAGGGCTGCACGTCACTCTGCCCGATGCTGCCTCTTCACCCCTTTCTACCCCTCTCCACCCCTCTTCTGTTGTGCTGTGCACTGTATCCCCACCAGGTGGTCAGGCAGTGGCGAGCGGGACACAGGGGGCCAGGCGCGCTACAGGGTGAGGGGGGACATGGCCAACCCCGTCTCAGGGCTGCACGTCACTCTGCTCGATGCTGCCGGCCTCCTGGCTTCCAGTGTGAGTCTGTTGTTCTGTGCGGTGCGGTGCGGTGCGGTGCTGTACTGTGCTGTGCTGTGCGGTGCGGTGCTGTACTGTGCTGTGCTCGCTGTTGCTGGCCTCATCGCCTTAAACCCGGATTTTCTGCACTCTGCATGCCTCTACCCCCATCCCTTCCCCTCCTCCCCCTCTCCACACAGCAGGATGACTCGGTGCTGGTGGAGGTGGTGTCAAGCCCGTTCATCACTCGCGAGCCACAAGCCGCAGAAGGAAGGAGCCCTGACCCCTTCGTCTCCTCTCATCCCTCTCCCCCCCTCTCCACACAGCAGGATGACTCGGTGCTGGTGGAGGTGGTACAAAGCCCCTTCATCTCGGGGGAGCTACGAGCAACAGCAGTGGGCGGCACTCTCACTGTGCCGCTCTCTTCACACACCCCTCTCTCTCATTCTCTCTCTTCCATCTTTCCCCTCCATCTCCGCTCTACCTAACAGGATGACTCGGTGCTGGTTGAGGTGGTGCCAAGCCCATTCATTTCGGGGGAGCTGCGAGCAACAGCAGTGGGCGGCACTGTCACTGTGCCGCCCATCACAATCGTCCAAGTGCCTCCCTCCTTAACTCCTACTGCTTACCCTACGGCTTCTCCTACTGGTGGTAACCCCGCCACGGCTACTTTTGCTGACCCTGCTGGTGATCCCATCGCTTCTGCTGCAACTCCCGCTTCCAGCGCCGATGCTCCTGATGGGACAGCTGGCGTGCTCTCATTGGCTGTGGCCGTCAGCAGCCCGCTGAACGCGTTCCCGCCGTTTCAGCGCACGCTGGAGATCGTTTTCTGCCCGGCCGGGCAGTATTACGAAACAGCAGGGAACGGCACGAACAACTACAATAGCAGCAGCGGCGGCAGCAGCAGCAGCAGCAGCAGCAGCACCACCACCACCACCACCACCGCCAACAGCACCGCCAACAGCACCACCGCCAACAGCACCATGAGTGGAGGATCATCCCCTCTCACATCTGACCATTCTCAGAATCCTCAAAACAGCCTGATGCGATGCACCATCTGTCCCATAGGCAGCTACTGCGGGCCTGGCAAGGGCGCGCAGCACTGCCCAGATGGCACCTTCTCCTTCCGCCCAGGTGCCACCTCCCCCACTGACTGCCTCCCCTGCCCCAACACCACCAACGCCCGCACCCACCTCCCCGCTATGACCTGCTCTGACGGCGTTGCTGACGTGGCGGCGGGGTATTGGCTGGATCCCGGGAGCGTGGCGAACGGGCAGGTGGTGGTGTATTCGTGCGATGTGCTCAACGGGTGCCCCGGGTTCCAAGCTTCTACCCTCCAAAATGGAAGCAATTCTCAAATTTACCCGAATCCGGATTCTATTTCAGCACAAGGAGGGGGTGTGGCGGCGGCGGTGTGCGTCGGAGGGGAGGGGGAGCAGGCGCGGTGCAGAGGGGTTGGGGGGGATGGAGAGGAGTATGGGCAGTGTGGAGAGGGGTATGCCCAGGTGCGGCTATGCTCTGAGTGTGCTTCTGGCTTCTACTCTCTGCTTAGGGAGTGCCACTCGTGCACTGCCACCCTCACCAATGTGAGTCCCTGTTGAGTCAACTCAAGAGTGGGGGAGGGAGGAGGAGGAGGGGGTTAGCATGTGAGGTGGCGTTAGGGTGTCTGGTACAAAACTTTGCATGGCACAGGCTGTTTTTTTTTTCTTTCTCCTTTTTTTCCCACAACCCCATCATCCCCCGTTGCCTTCCCCAATTCCTCCTTTTCCGTTCACTACAGCTCTTCCCAATCTTCCTCACGCTTATCCCTCTGGCATGGGCGGCCATGGCACTACTCTCCTCCGCCTTCCACGCTGCACCCATCTTCCTCACTCCTCCACTCCCTGTGTCAACCCCCACTTACCCGTCCTCTCCCGCATTCCCCATCACTACAGCTCTTCCTCACAATGATCATTCTAACATGGGCAGCCATGGCACTGCTGCCCTCCGCCTTCCACGCTGCAGCCATCTTCCTCACAGACCTGCAGCTGCTCGCACTCATTGCCTCTTCCCCCCCCCCCCCCCCCCACCCCCTACCACACAGCTATTCCCGCTCTTCCTCATGCTGATTCTGCTCGCATGGGCGGCCATGGCACTACTCTCATCCGCCTTCCACGCTGCAGCCATCTTCCTCACAGACCTGCAGCTGCTCGCACTCATTGCATCCTACACCGTGCCGCTCCCCACCTGGCTGAACCCCTTCATCCAGCTCTTCCAGCTCTCACTCTTCATCCCTGTGAGTGTGTTGATTATTGAGCCGGAAATGTTTTTTTCTAGTCGAATCAACAACCATCTCTCGCAATTATCGCATCCTACACCATACCGCTCCCCACCTGGCTCAACCCTTTCATCCAGCTCTTCCAGCTCTCACTATTCATTCCTGTAAGTGCTGCTGTGTGCTGAGTCATTCTAGAAAAGCGTGCTGAGTCATTCTAGAAAAGCGTGCTGAGTCATTCTAGAAAAGCGTGCTGAGTCATTCTAGAAAAGCGTGCTGAGTCATTCTAGAAAAGCGTGCTGAGTCATTCTAGAAAAGCGTGCTGAGTCATTCTAGAAAAGCCCTGTGACTGTTACCATGGGATAGCACCACCAGCATGCTCCACAACCTTAGACTGTGACTACCCATGGTCCCTTCATTTAACTGATAGAAGTAGAGTTTTGAGACGTCTCTATACACTACTTCTACCACCAGCATGTGTCATTGTAACGAGGTGACTTCTGAGTCGACTCGACTCGACTTTTGAGTCGACTCAAAAGTCACCGTGTAGTGTTTTGAGACGTCTCAATACACTACTTGTACCACCAGTATGCGCCACACCCTTCAGCTATGAGTAGGGATGGGCAGTCGCCATTCAATCTTCCCCCACTCACCCACCCACCTTCTCCCCTCTGTCTCCGCCCCTTTCTCCACCCTTATCCCCATCCCTTATGCCCTCATGCATGCACCCATCAGGACCTGATTGCACCGGCTTGCACCACACCCTTCGGCTATGAGCAGGAATGGGCAGTCGCCATTCAATCTTCCCCCACTCACCCACCCACCTTCTCCCCTCTGTCTCCGCCCCTTTCTCCACCCTTATCCCCATCCCTTATGCCCTCATGCATGCACCCATCAGGACCTGATTGCACCGGCTTGCACCACACCCTTCGGCTATGAGCAGGAATGGGCAGTCGCCATTCAATCTTCCCCCACTCACCCACCCACCTTCTCCCCTCTGTCTCCGCCCCTTTCTCCACCCTTATCCCCATCCCTTATGCCCTCATGCATGCACCCATCAGGACCTGATTGCACCGGCTTGCACCACACCCTTCGGCTATGAGCAGGAATGGGCAGTCGCCATTCAATCTTCCCCCACTCACCCACCCACCTTCTCCCCTCTGTCTCTGCCCCTTTCTCCACCCTTATCCCCATCCCTTATGCCCTCATGCATGCACCCATCAGGACCTGATTGCACCGGCTTGCACCACACCCTTCGGCTACGAGCAGCAATGGGCAGTCACCATGCTCGTACCCCTTATAGGCCTCCTCGTTTACACCGCACTCTTTGCCCTGCGCAAGCTCTACCTGTTTGTTTTCTGTAGCAAAAGCACCTCTACTGCTGCAGTTACCACCTCCACTTCCCCTCCTCCTCCTCCTGCTGCTGCTGCTGCTGCTGCTGCTGCTCCCGCTGCTACTGCTACCACCAGCAACACAGGAGCAGAGGACACTGCTTCCCCCAACCACCCTCCATCCCACCACACCCACTCCGATCCCTTCAATTACACCCTAATTCACGGGGTAACCAACTGGTTAGACCTCTGCTACGCGCCAGTCATTTACCGTTGCCTGCAAGCCCTCCACCCGTACTTCTACGGGATAGAGACGCTCGCCGCCGCCCCGACTATCGTCTGGTTCTCCGCCGCCCACAACACCATGTTTGCTTTGTCTGTAGTGGTGCTGATGTTATATGGTGCGGGCCTGCCTGTGGGTCATGCGTTGGTGCTATGGTGGGGGAGAGGGGGATGGGGGCGGGAGCGAGGAGGAGAGGTGGGGAAAGGGGAGGGAAGGGGAGAGGAGGGGAGGAGAGGGGAGAGGGGGAGAGGGAAGGGGAAGGGAGAGCGGGGGGGGGAGGGGGGGATGGGATGCGCATGCGTACAAGAGGCGGTGGGGGTGGATGGTCAACCGATACGACGATCACTATTACTGGTACGCCACCCATCCACCCATGTGCCTCTGCATTACTGGTACGCCACCCATCCACCCATGTGCCTCTGCATTACTGGTACGCCACCCATCCACCCATGTGCCTCTGCATTACTGGTACGCCACCCATCCACCCATGTGCCTCTGCATTACTGGTACGCCACCCATCCACCCATGTGCCTCTGCATTACTGGTACGCCACCCATCCACCCATGTGCCTCTGCATTACTGGTACGCCACCCATCCACCCATGTGCCTCTGCATTACTGGTAGGTTACTCACTCCTGCATGCCTTGCACTCATGCTGCTCTGCTCTCTGTCCCTTGACCTGCACGTGTTGAGTTGCGTCAAAAGTCACCAAGCCCAGCCGTGGGTGCCTTCAAGGGGGGTGTGGCATGCGCATGCGATCATCATTACTGGTAGGCCACCAACCAACTTTTGGTCAACCGTTACTGGCATGCATACAAGAGGCGGTGGGGGCGGATGGTCAACCGATACGACGAACATTATTACTGGTAGGCCACCAACCATCTTTTGTAAAACTTTCCAAGGGAGCTTGCAGTTTTTTTTTCCCTCCTACTCCCCCTCCCCACTCTCCTCCTCCTCCCCCTCCCCCCCACCCCACCATGTAGCACCTGACTTGCTACGCGCGGCGCCTGTTCATCGCCAGCCTGGCAGTCTTCCCCTGCACGTCCCCTGAGACACAGCTCTCCGTCACGCTCCCTCTGCAAGCCATCCACAACGGCCTCCCCTTCGCCGCCTCCCCCCCCCCACTCCTTTCCCCATGCTGCCCTCTCCCGCTCCCTTCACCCCTTCTCCTCCCTTTCACAACGCCTGAGCACCCTTTCCTGACTTAATTTTCCTGCTTTCCGGCCCCCTCCCTCCTCCCTGCTTTCCGCTCCCCTTCCTCCCCCTTCACTGCCAGGTGGCACCTTACGTGTTATGCGCGGCGGCTGTTCATCGCCTCCCTGGCAGTCTTCCCCTGCACGTCCCCCGAGACACAGCTCTCCGTCACGCTCCCTCTGCAAGCCATCCACATCGGCCTCCACTTCGCCGCCTCCCCCCACTCCTCGCTCTCCCTCGACCTTCTCTCCTCCCTCCTCGCTCTCTCTGACCTTCTATTCACGGTTGCTCTCACGGGGAAGAGCTATGTGGTTGTGCCGGCGGCGGCGACAGCGCTGTTTGTGTGCGCGCTCGTGCTGCTGCTCGTGCCTGCGGCTCTGGTTTTGTTATATGAAATAGTGAATGGGTTTATAGCGTGGTGTAATCGAAGGGAGTTGCGGAGATTGGAGAGGAGAGGGAAGGGCGGGAGCGGGAGCGGGAGTGCGGGAGGGGGAAGGGGAGGGGGAGGAGGAGGTGCAGGGACGGGTGAAGGGACGGTTGAGGGAATGTGTGGGGATGGGTGGGGAGGGATGGATATGGGTGACGTGGCAGCATGGTTCAGACCACACGTGCTCTACACCTTCCTCCTCCACTGCAACAAAGCTGCTGCTGCCTCTTCTGCCGCTGCTGCTACCGCTGCTCCTGGCACTGCTGCTGATACTGCTGCACACCCAGCCAACCCAGCAACCACCACATCATCACCACCACCAGCATTAGCACCACCAGCAGCATTAGCACCAGCGGCATCAGCCCAGCAGCAGCAGCAGCACCACCCAGCGCAGCTCCTCCTAACCGTTCACCACCGCTTCCTACTCTGCAAAACCCATGGCATGGGCAGCACGGCATGGACCCACCACCTGGCCAAGTCCCAGCTCTACGCTGTGCTATCCCAGGCTCTGCTCGGCGCTGCTGTGGGCGACGTCACCGTCGCCCGCATGCCCGCAGGGAAAGGGGATGCCCGTGTGCTGAGCTCCAGGATTGCTCACCAGCAGCAGCAGCGGCAGCAGCAGCAGCAGCAGCAGCAGCAGTCAAGTCAGCAGGAGAATTCAACCCAGCAGCAGCAGCAGCAGCAGCAGCAGCAGCAGCAGCAGCAGCAGTTGTTGGGAGTGGCAGTGGGTGGTGGTATGCCCGGTCTGACAGGATTGGCAAGAGCAATGGAGCGGGATGGTGCAGGGTCTTCCAGTGGGCGGCGCAGCAACATCAGCGTTCTGGTGCGCAGTCTTTCCAAGCGAGAGGGCGTTGCTGGTGCCTCTGCCACTGACCTTCTCTCCTCCATGTCCCGTAGCAATTCCCGCCACGAACTGCCTGGAGTAGCAGCAGCAGCAGCAGCAGCAGCAGGAGGAGGAGGAGGAGCAGGAGTGGGAACAGCAGGCATAGCCGAAGCGGCGGGGGGGGCAGCAGGGGGGGCTATGATAACTGTCAGCGGGGGTGGGGTGATTGTGAGGAGTGGGTCCAGCTCGCAGGACGTACCAGTGCCACCACCTGCAGCAGCAGAGGCGACAGCATGGGCCTCAGCCATAGGCGCGTACAGCCTCGCTAGAAGCAGCTCGCGCCGCGAGATCGTCCCCGACTCGCCACACGCCCCTGTTTCCATGGGAAACCCCGGCCTGTTTTCTCGAAGCAGCTCACGCCGCGAGATCGTCCCGGACTCACCCCGGCCCGTATCAGGGGGACTAGGAGCGGTGCTAGCAGCAGGAGTACCGGGAACGCCTGTGACCCGGCCCGGGATATCTCGCAGAGAGATCGTACCCGACTCACCTCTCACCTTCTCCAGGAGTGCTTCTCGCCGCGCTGCTCCTGCAGACTCCCCCGCTTCTTCCGCCCTCTCCACCTCCCCCTCTGCTGCTGGGCTCCCCAGCTTGCCCGGCCCCGGCAGCCTGGGCGGCTTCTCCTTGTCCCGTAGCGGCTCCCGCCGCGACCTCTCAGGTGAATTCTCAGGTGTTTTGCCGGTCGTGCGGCAGTCCATGTCGCGAAGCTCGTCGCGGAGGGAGATCGTGGCGGAGATCGAAGGGGAGCTGGCAGCGGCGGGGCTACCAGGGTCGCTTTCCCGCTCCCTCTCCCGGTCGCTCTCTCGGAGCGCGTCGAGGAGGGAGCGGTGGAACGATGGGAGTAGTCACTTTGGAGGAGGGGTTGTGGAGGCTGAGGTGGTGTCTCGTGCTGAGTGGCCGCCCCGGCTAGAGGACCATGTCACCTGGGCTGCTGCTGCTGCTGCTTCTGCTGATGTAGGGGGTACTGCTGCTGCTGCTGCTGCTGCTGCTGCTGCTGCTGGTGATTCTGCTGCTGCTGCTGCTGCTGCTGCTGCTGGCAGTGGTGGTGCTGCTGGTGATTCTGCTGCTGCTGCTGGGCCTGCTGGTGGTGATTCTGGTACTGGTGCTGCGGGTGCTGGTGCTGGTGCCGGTGCTGCTGATGCTGGTGCTGCTGGTAGTGTTGGTACTGCCAGTGCAGCGGCCGAGAGGGCAGGGGAGTGCAGGGAAGCGGTTGCTGTGCCTGCATCCGCGTCTGCTGGTGGTGCCACAACAGCCGCCACCACTTCTCCTGCTGCTGACTCATCCCCACACACAGCTGACTCATCACTGCGCGTAGCTGACTCATCACCGCATGCAGGTGACTCGTCACCACAGCAGCCCTCCCCGTCAAGCCCTCTGCCAGCATCCACTGACGCACCGAACCCCCCGTCCAGATCCCCAGAATCCAACCCCCATGTTCCTAGCAGTGCAACACCCAACGACAGTGCAGTGAGTGATGCAGCACCACACAGCACACCACCGCACAGCACAGCACCACTCAGCACACCACCGTCGTTACCTGTAGGCTCGTCGCCACAGCCGGAGGGCACACCAGGAGAAACAGCAGCAGCAGGAAGCACAGAAAGAACAGTAGCAGCAGAAACAGCTGCCGCAACAGCAGCCGGAACTAGAGCAGGAGGAGTAGGAGGAGCAGGGGGAGTAGGAGGAGCAGGAGCAGGGGGAGCAAGGGCAGCAGCAGGGAGCAGGGGAGGGGGAGGGGAGGCGGAGTATTTAGAGGCGCGGCTGAGTGTGGCGGAGCTGACTCTCACGTTTCAGCGCCACCTGGCGATCCTGGTGCGCGTGGAGGCGCACAGGAGGGAGGACTCGCTCAGGCTTCTGCTGAGATCCGATGCCGTGCAGGACATCATTGCTTGGCTGACCTCGCCGCACTGGTAAGTTCTGAGATGTTTTATTAAGCACACCGCTGGGAAGGCTCGCTGCGCCTGCTGCTGCGATCCGATGCCGTGCAGGACATCATTGCTTGGCTGACCTCTCCGCACTGGTGAGTTGCGAGATGAGACGTCTTAAAAGGCGCACAAGAGGGAGGACTCGCTCAGGCTTCTTCTGCTGCGATCCGATGCCGTGCAGGACATCATTGCGTGGTTGACATCGCCGTACTGGTGAGTTGTGAGATGAGCTTGAGACGTCTTCTCAGTGGTTTCGTTGTGACTGCTGTTGAGATCCGATGCCGTAAAGGGGCATCATTCCATGGCTGACATCGCCGTACTGGTATTGCGACGTCGCTTGGAGTGTGATCACACCTCTTGCTGTTTCTGTTACCAGTATTGTTGTGATTATCTGTCTTTCCTCTCGTTTTCCCAGGCCAGTTTCTTGTTTGGATCTTGCTTCACTCTGCGTTTCTGTTTGATCGGTTTTCCGACTCTTGTCGCCGTTCTTTGCAGTAATGCGGAGGATCAACGGCTTGTGTTGGAGTTGGTCAGATTGATGAGGGAGGCAGCAGAAGCAGAAGCAGGAGGGCTGCAGTGGTACACGGGGTTCCTTTGCTTCTTCCGCACACTGAGAACGTTTGGTGGTATTTATTGAGGTTCAAGATACTGTACTACCCATTTTTTATGTGACATATGCAGGAGTTGATTGCGGCAGCAAAACATTTGTTCTAGGTGTGTAGAGGCCTTGGTGATGGGTTTTTTTGAGTTCACAAGATAAGTTTGTTGGAAACAAGTAACTTAAGCGCCTCTTTCGTGTCGAAGCATTAAGTTACAAGCGAAGCGAAACATATCGAAGCATTGGCTAGTCAACCCTCGGAGGTTGAACAACCGCTGGAGGTTACGCGAAAGTCAAAAGTCAGCGACCTTTGACTTGACAAGTAAAGCGCGACAGCAAGGACAAACAACTGACTCGTTATTGAGCAGTTGCCCGAGTCGTCACTGTATCGAACCGCAACAGCAACAGCAAAACAGTTATTACCAGTTATAACCCTTCATATTCCCTTGTACTCTTATAAAAGCTTGTATCTCTTTGTTTGAATCAATCTACTTTGCCCTCACACACATATCAGCGCAAGGTGGTTCACAAACTTCTCATTAAACGCTTCCGCTATTAGATTGTTCTACTCAGAGTTTAGTCCTGCAAAGATCCAAGGGCTTTTCTCTTGATTGTAGTACCTTTACTCCCTCCACCCACTGAGGCTAGCTGTTGTTTTCAGGGTGTTTTTCCGATATCACCCACCCCATTATGGCCAGCCGCCACCGCACCGGCGCCGCTCTCCGTTTGTATCACACCCGTAGTCTGCTTCAAGTCCCTTCTTGCACGCCTCGTTCTAGTCCCACATCTTCCAAGGCTTTGGGTGTGGGGTGGGCACACACAGGGAGACCCGACCCTTCCTCGCTCACAATCCACCCTTCCAGCGCACACGCGTGTCCACTTGCCCCTTTGGCCTGGTTCGGTGGGTACTTTCGGCCATTGGTTCGCGATTCACGAATCACGTCAGTCGTGATTCGTTAGAAATTCGTTAATGTTCGCTGTGACTCTTTGGATGTGCTACAGTTATGTTGGACCTGCTGTACCATCATCATCTCTTCGATCTCTGGTGTTTCTGGTCGACTCCGCAACCATTGCATGGTTCTCTTGTTCACATCACACTATCCTCCTCTCCTCCCCTTGTATTCTTTATGGTCAAGTCTTGCACCATGTTTCTAGAACAATTTCTCCTAAGCCGTAGGTATCACTTTCCAGTCGGGACTTCTATTTTCCTCATCTAGTTTCAAATCTGTTCCCGCAGTTGAATATATAAGCTTTATTCCCAAAGCAGAAGCTTAAGTGCCGCTTCAAGCTAAGCTATCTGCGTTGTGCCGCTAAGAGAACGGTACAGAATGGAGGCCGAGATCCAACCCGTCTCAGATCGCGATAATGATAATCGTCATCGCAGCCAGCGAAACCATCACGATAGTTCACGTCACGGCCGTGCTTCGGGCAATCGCCACCCCGCTGAAAATGTCGCAGAAGTCGAAACAGGTTCAGACAATGCCGATCGTCGCGTGTTAGCCGAGTTGGCGACAGCGATATCCCTCGCAGAGCGCATCCTGCAGATAGCCGCTACGGCGTCGCAGTCTCGCTCGCACCGGCTACTAACAGATCGGATTGCGACGCGTACGCAGCAGCTTCTTCCCGTGCTTCGCCGGCTGCAGGCTTCGTCAATGAGCCTCATCCACGACCCCAGAGCCACTTTCGTTTTCGAGCGTCTGGTTACAGAGTTACAAGAGGCGAAACATCTTCTGGAGACCAGCACTAAGGCATCTGTACTCGGCATTATGTTCCGCTTCAAGCGCCGATCGGAAATTGCGGAGCGGCTGGAGACATGTTTAGCGGAGATCCGCCAGTGCCACACGGAATGCCTCATTCTGATTGGCCAGGACAATTTCCACGGTCGAAACACCTACCCGCCGCGCAGCGCTACCGGCGTCCCTCCCGCAACAGGCGGCGCCAACAGCGGCCGCGGAGGTATCGGCGGAGGTACAGGCGGAAGCATCAGCGGAGACGCACCGGAGCGACTAGGCTCGGATTATGGTTCCGCGGGTGGAGGTTTGCAACGGGGTTTTTCAACTGAGGTGATTCTCCCTTCCAGCCCCATGGTAGACCGCTCCCCCCGCGCTTGGAACAGAGGCAGGCAATCCGGTGCGCATAGTCCCCGGCCCCGCGCGCTTCCGCGGTCAGGAAGCGACGGCTTGCCAGAGCAGGTGTCCCGCGGCGCGCACGGGATTCACGGGGTTTATGGCGGTCACGGGGATCGCCATTCTTCGCAGCAGCAGCGGCAGCAGCGGCATTTGGTGCCGGAGTTGAATCGGCCCGGCACGGCCGGCGAGGCGATGCCGATGCCCCGCTCGTTCTCCTCCACGGACGCTGCTGAAGTGGCAGCGGCGCGCGGCACTCCCGGGGAGTTCTCGATGGACATCCCGAACGTGCGACGCGCGAATGCAGCCAGGCAAGCGGGTGGCTCGGAGGAGATGTACGAAGACGCTAACGGAGAGATGACGGTTTCTGATTACACGTCATCCCACGTCTGGCATGCGTCAGAGTACCCCCGCGCTCCCCCCAGCGTTAGCAGCATTTGTTCGGAATCCGACCACGCGCGCGTGTTCGTCTCCGCGCTCATGGACGGTTCCCCCGCGGAGAAGCGCGCGGCACTGGCGGCGCTGCTAGAACTGGCGGAATCGGATGAGGGGAAGCTTAGCGTGGCCGCAGCGGGCGCGGTTCCGGTGCTGTCCGTCCTCCTCACTCTCCCCGACAGTCCCGGGGAGCCCACGAAACTAGCCGCCGCGCGAGTGCTGCTGCGCCTCGCGTGCTTAGACGAGAATCGAGTGGTGATCGCTAAAGCTGGGTGCGTGCCGTCGTTTGTGTCGCTGCTGCGCACCGGGGGTGCAGAGGCGAGAGCGGTCGCGGCGCGGGTGCTGTGGAACTTAGCGGTGAACACGGAGAATAAGGTCATAATCGCCGCGTCAGAGGCTGTCCCGTCGTTAGTCGCAATTATCCAATCGGATTCTGAGAGTGAAGCGAAGCAGGAGGCTGCAGAGGCTCTAGCGCAGCTCACGGCCAACAATGTTAGGAATCAGACGGCTGTAGCGGAAGCAGGGGGTGTCCCAGCTCTCGTGACTATGCTGAAAGAAGGCTCGCCTCCCGAGCAGGAGAAAGCGGCGCTCGCTTTAGGCACACTCGCTGTGAATCACGACGAGAACAAGCTGACTGTAGCGGGAGCAGGCGCGTGTCCCCTCCTCCTAGACCTGCTGTGTCAGAACGATAATCCCGAGGCGTCAAAGAATGCCGCGTGGGCCCTCTACGTCCTGTCCTCTAACAAGGTATCCGCGACTTACATCCTCGCTAGTGGCGGACTCGTTGCAGTGAAAAGAGTGCAAGACGAAGGCCCGCCGGAGTCCCTGTACTGGGCTTCGCATATCTTGTCTCTTTTGGACCCGTCCTCTGGGCCTCCTGAGAAGCACCCAGCGCATCGGCTGTCAGGGTTTGGGCCAGCGAAGGGGGGCAGAGATGATGAGGAGACTGCGAGTCAGCGAATGGAGGAGCGGCGGGCAACAAGGGAGAAAATCGTTAAGGGGTGGTAGGGTCGAGTTTTGAGTACGTTGAAAAGGCACCCAGCGCATCAGCTGTCGGGGTTTGGGCTGGCGAAAGGGGGCAGGGAGGAGGAGGAGATCATGATGAGTCAGCGGACGGAGGAGCGGCGGGCAACAAGGGAGAAAATCGTGAAGGGGTGGTAGGGTCGAATTTTGAGTAGACTGAAAAGGCACCTTGCCCATTGGCTGTCGGGGTTTGGACCGGCGAAGGGGGGCAGGGACGATAAGGAGAGTAAGAATCAGCGGATGGAGGAGAGGCGGGCAACAAGGGAGAAAATCGTTCAGGGGTAGTGAGGTAGCAGGGTGAGGCGATAGGGCAGGTGGGATAGAAAGGGTGGGGATGTAAGAAGGCGTGGAGCAGTAGTGATGGTGGGATACCGAGGGTTGTGAGAGAGTAGGGTGAAGCAGTAGGGCTGGTGAGATAGTGAGGGTTGTGAGGTAGCAGGGTGCAGCAGTAGCGTAGTGTGGTACAGTAGCAGTAGCAGGGTTGGTGGGAGAATGCAGCTGTTGAGGTGGTGGGTGGGTAAAGGTAGTAGGGTGAAGCAGTAGGGCTGGTGAGCTTTCGGGGTTGGTTAGATAGTGGGTTTGATGAGGTACTGTAGTTGGTCTGCTGAGACAGTGGGTTTGGTAATACGTCTTCAATGTGATCAAAGATTTGTGAGCAGGCCGGGGGTGCATGATGCATTGGGAATCTTGGAGCAGGAGGAGGAAAGCATCTTGTGTGGTTGAAAGCGTGATGGGAAGCAGCAGCGGTCCTAGCTTCAAGGATGGTCTCTAGGAGCAGCCTTTTTCGGCAGTTTCTGACCACACTGCCAAGATGGGTTGAGGAGGCCAGTGTGAAGCAGCCGAGACAAGTACTGTTAGGAGGGCGACATTGTGGGGTCAGGAAATGAAAGGCTGGGCAGCGCAAGAGAGTCTATGGGTTGTGCTTCAACCACTCTCGGAGCCCTGGCTAAAATTGTTATGGTATTGGTGATGGAATTGCAGGTTATGGAGATGTAATTGATGGGAGAAGGGGAATGCTGTGTGCTTCGAGGTGGTTTATTTATCGCCCTGTTGCAGTAAATGCTAAGGGATTTTGTTCCACAATTTCGATAGGATCAATATTTATTCGTTGTAAGACAAGTTTTTGTAGATAGGTCTATATTATAGACTGGTGGATGCTGGTGCATGGATGTGCTGATTTTTTTCTGATCTCGTGCTCATGTGTCAGTTTTGGTAAATACGTGTGGCACAAGAAAATAGATAGTGTTTGTGCAGCATTCATAATGCAGATGGGGCGGAGTTATGTCAGAATCGCTCTCAACCGAGTGAAGCCCGCCAAGTTTGACATAGATGTGACATTTCAACCCCACTCAACTATCATCATCAGCAGGGTCACCGAAGTGTGCCATTATCCACCAGTTTTAACCTTTCTATATCGTTCTTTCGCTGCCCCGAAACTCTCCCCACCCCAATCCCGAATCCATTTTTGCTGAGTCCGTGCTCTGTGCTTTGCTTCACAGCCGTTTACTTCATAAACTTGTCAGACAGCAATTCGGAAACCTGCAGCTTTGGTATAAAACAGACTTCTGTGTTTTCCGTAGCAGTTGACTGCCATGGAGGGGGTGCTTCGTGCTGAGCTGCTGAAACTGCTGCCGCTCGTCCATCCCGCTCCAGGCGACCTCGGTAGTACCGGCGGCAGCGGCCTCGCCTGCGATGTGACTAAAGCGAAGACCGCGTTCGCTCCCTACAGAATCTGCCCGTTAGGAGCTCACATCGACCACCAGGTAAGGAATTCGCGTTTTGTTCGTTCACCAAGTGATGATAATGTCTCGTGCCGTGACATTGGCTCCAGTTCGTCTCTCGAGGACTCTGAAAATAGATCCATTCTGGTTTTGGTGTCAGCCTCGTCCTTCTCCTCACTTCAGATGTCAATTCGCGTTTTGTTCGTTCAGCAAGTGATGATGATGATGTCTCGTGACATTGGTTCCCGTCTCTCGAGGACTGGTCATCCTTAGGCGGTGATCTGTTATCACGAGACTAAAATTCAATCGATCCATTCTGGTGTCAGCCTCTTCCTTCTTCTCACTTCAGATGTCATTCCTCCTCCTCAACATCTCTCGATTCTTTCTCCTCGCCTCCGCTCTCCTCTCCTCTCCCCTCGTCTCCTCTCCTCTCCCCTCGTCTCCTCTCCTCTCCTCTCCCTCCTCGCCTCATCAGGGGGGTCCAGTGCTTGCGGCAGCCATCAACACGGGGGTTCGCTTCTTTTTCCTCCCCACCCCAACTCCTCAGGTTAGCCTCTCCACTCCCACTCCTCAGGTTAGCCTCTCCATTCCCACTCCCCAGGTGAGCCTCCCCCCTGCCAATATGTCTATACTCACCTATTCATGTCATCGTCTCTTCCCTCTCTCCCGCTCTCTTCTTTCCTCTGTCTGCGCGCTGTCGTCCTCTCACCTCTTGGTTCACACCCACACCCATTCGCCTTCTTGCATGGGTTCATCAGTCAACTTCTCCTTTCTCTGCATTCACTTCATTCGAGGTGGCTTTTGAGTCGACTCAAAAGCCACCTCTCACCTCTTGGTTCACACCCACACCCATTCGCCTTCTTGCATGGGTTCATCAGTCAACTTCTCCTTTCTCTGCATTCACTTCATTCGAGGTGGCTTTTGAGTCGACTCAAAAGCCACCTCTCACCTCTTGGTTCACACCCACACCCATTCGCCTTCTTGCATGGGTTCATCAGTCAACCTCCTCTCCTTTCTCTGCATTCACTTCATTCGAGGTGGCTTTTGAGTCGACTCAAAAGCCACCTCTCACCTCTTGGTTCACACCCACACCCATTCGCCTTCTTGCATGGGTTCATCAGTCAACTTCTCCTTTCTCTGCATTCACTGCATTCGAGGTGGCTTTTGAGTCGACTCAAAAGCCACCTCTCACCTCTTGGTTCACACCCACACCCATTCGCCTTCTTGCATGGGTTCATCAGTCAACTTCTCCTTTCTCTGCATTCACTTCATTCGAGGTGGCTTTTGAGTCGACTCAAAAGCCACCTCTCACCTCTTGGTTCACACCCACACCCATTCGCCTTCTTGCATGGGTTCATCAGTCAACCTCCTCTCCTTTCTCTGCATTCACTTCATTCGAGGTGGCTTTTGAGTCGACTCAAAAGCCACCTCTCACCTCTTGGTTCACACCCACACCCATTCGCCTTCTTGCATGGGTTCATCAGTCAACTTCTCCTTTCTCTGCATTCACTGCATTCGAGGTGGCTTTTGAGTCGACTCAAAAGCCACCTCTCACCTCTTGGTTCACACCCACACCCATTCGCCTTCTTGCATGGGTTCATCAGTCAACTTCTCCTTTCTCTGCATTCACTTCATTCGAGCTGGCTTTTGAGTCGACTCAAAAGCCACCTCTCACCTCTTGGTTCACACCCACACCCATTCGCCTTCTTGCATGGGTTCATCAGTCAACCTCCTCTCCTTTCTCTGCATTCACTGCATTCTGACCGGAACTTTGCCTCAATTCCTGCCTGACTTTTGAGGCGCCTCAAAATCCTGACCGGAACTTTGCCTCAATTCCTGCCTGACTTTTGAGGCGCCTCAAAATCCTGACCGGAACTTTGCCTCAATTCCTACCTGACTTTTGAGGCGCCTCAAAATCCTGACCAGAACTTTGCCTCAATTCCTACCTGTGCGCTGGCAGGTTGTTGTCGCGTCTCTCCAGTTCAGAGGCACCGTGCGATTCTCCTTCATGTGGGTTCAGCTCAATTCGTCGCGCATCTCTAGGTCAACTTACTGCCATGTCGTGTCACTGCAGCTCAGAAGCACTGTGAAGTGAAATTCTCGGCTCAGCTCGTGTTTTCAGGGATGCATCTCATCTCATGTCCATCCATTGATTGTCATTGTCACAATGTGCACGGCATGGCACAACGGCATGTGTGGGCAGCACACAAGCAAGGCCGGCCGGTGAAGGGAGAGAAGCAGCCAGGCGTGAGACGTTTGTTCCGAGACGTTTGTTCCGAGACGTTTGTTCCGAGACGTTTGTTCCGAGACGTTTGTTCCGAGACGTTTGTTCCGAGACGTTTGTTCCGAGACGTTTGTTCCGAGACGTTTGTTCCGAGACGTCTGTTCCGAGACGTCTGTTCCGAGACGTCTGTTCCGAGACGTCTGTTCCGAGACGTCTGTTCCGAGACGTCTGTTCCGAGACGTCTGTTCCGAGACGTCTGTTCCGAGACGTCTGTTCCGAGACGTTTGTTCCGAGACGTTTGTTCCAAGACGTTTGTTCCGAGACGTCTGTTCCGAGACGTCTGTTCCGAGACGTCTGTTCCGAGACGTCTGTTCCGAGACGTCTGTTCCGAGACGCCTGTTCCGAGACGTCTGTTCCGAGACGTCTGCCAAAACGATCTAGTTATCACGTCTGCGATTGCATGGTGACTGTATGACTGTGCATGTGGTGGCATGTGTGCAGCACACAAGCAAGGCCGGTGAAGAGACAGAAGCAGCCAAACAATCGTCATGGAGGCGCGGAAGAGAAGGAAAGGAAGGAAGGAGGAGGCGAAGCAGAGGAGGAGCAGTGCTGGGGCAACTTTGGCCGAGGAGCAGTGTGGGCGCTGCTAGAGGCAGGGCACAAAGTGGAACAGGTGGGTGGGCGGGCTTTGAGACGTCTCAAAAGCCGAGGGGCAGTGTGGGCGCTGCTAGAGGCAGGGCACAGACTGGAACAGGTGGGTGTGATGGGGTTGGCAGGATGGATAATGGATGGCGTATGGGGGGAAGGGGGATGGTGGTGGAGGGAGGTAAGGGGGGGGGGGATGGGGTTGTAGGGGGAGAGGGGGGAAGGGGGGATGTCCACCCACACTGCTATAAGCAGGGCACAAAGTGGCGTGAAAGAAGGGTGGCTTTGAGACGTCTCAAAGCCTCAAAGTGGAACGGGTGGGTGGATGGCTGAAACGTCATGTGGACAAGATGCTCATTTCATCGGAGCATCTTGTCCACATGGAGCAAGGTTATTTTTGAAACGTCTCAAAAAGATGCTCCGATGACGCTTCAGCCGATTCAAAAGTCGAGAGCATTTAGGTCTCAACCTCCCCTGAGCTGTGCCTCCTCTGATGATTGACATACATGCCTATGCAGCTATGCTCCCTCCTCCGCCATGCCTGCACCTTGCCATCTCATGGCATGGAGTGGTTCGGGTGCTGTGCGGGCAGCAGGACACGGTGAGTGTGCTGCGCTATATAGCATTGACAGCCCAGCTTCCTCTGTGCCTCCTCCAACGCTTGACATATGCTGCTCTCTCCTCCTCTCCTTTGCTGCCTCCACCTTGCCAATCCATGGCAGGGAGTGGTGGGAGTGATGTGCGGGCAGCCAGGAATGGACAGTGCTGGCGTTAGCTCCTCTGCTGCTGTAGGATATACCCATGCACCTTGCAATACGTTCACCTTTTCTTTAGGCGCCTCGAAGATATAACCTATGCGCCCACCCCTGTCTATTTTCCCTGCATTCCGCAACCTTAACCTCGCTGCGTTGAAATCGTCGCACCATAACCCCGCAACCATAACCCCGCTGCTTTGCCTAACCTCGCTGCTCCTGGGTTTATCTCCATCCACTTGCAACGCCCTTACATGCTTTGTGAGATTTACCCATGTCTCATGGGTTTGAAATCGTCTTGTTCAACCTTGGCTCCTATCTCTTCCGCTGTGCCATGCCATCTGCACAGGCAGACAGGTGTCGCATTCCTATTGGCCCTCGCCGATGCCAACAACCTTTCGCTCTCTCCAGCGGAGCTCATTGAGCTGGACAGGTACACCTCATTGCACCGCTCTGCACCTTATTCCAATCACCTCTTTTGGCTGCCTCGCTTGCATGCAGTGCTTACTCTTTATCTCCGACTCTTCCTCCATGCCACCTCCAATCCTCATGCAATTCGTCTACCTTTGTTTCAGTTGCTGTGATCTTTCATTCATTCGTTGTCTTCCTCTTAGAGGCATTCCTCTTGCATTCTGCCGTCAGGCCACCTTGACTCATGTTCGAAGGGCTGCAGTGGTTGAATGAGTCAAGGTGACTCTTAGAGGCATTCCTCTTGCATTCTGCCGTCAGGCCACCTTGACTCATGTTCGAAGGGCTGCAGTGGTTGAATGAGTCAAGGTGACTCTTAGAGGCATTCCTCTTGCATTCTGCCGTCAGGCCACCTTGACTCATGTTCGAAGGGCTGCAGTGGTTGAATGAGTCAAGGTGACTCTTAGAGGCATTCCTCTTGCATTCTGCCGTCAGGCCACCTTGACTCATGTTCGAAGGGCTGCAGTGGTTGAATGAGTCAAGGTGACTCTTAGAGGCATTCCTCTTGCATTCTGCCGTCAGGCCACCTTGACTCATGTTCGAAGGGCTGCAGTGGTTGAATGAGTCAAGGTGACTCTTAGAGGCATTCCTCTTGCATTCTGCCGTCAGGCCACCTTGACTCATGTTCGAAGGGCTGCAGTGGTTGAATGAGTCAAGGTGACTCTTAGAGGCATTCCTCTTGCATTCTGCCGTCAGGCCACCTTGACTCATGTTCGAAGGGCTGCAGTGGTTGAATGAGTCAAGGTGACTCTTAGAGGCATTCCTCTTGCATTCTGCCGTCAGGCCACCTTGACTCATGTTCGAAGGGCTGCAGTGGTTGAATGAGTCAAGGTGACTCTTAGAGGCATTCCTCTTGCATTCTGCCGTCAGGCCACCTTGACTCATGTTCGAAGGGCTGCAGTGGTTGAATGAGTCAAGGTGACTCTTAGAGGCATTCCTCTTGCATTCTGCCATCAGGCTCAGTTCAAAAACGATTCCCTTGGTCTCCTCCTCTGCCTTTCCATCCTGCTGCAATCCTCTCTCCCTCCATTCGCTCCTCTTGCATACTTCTCTCAGGCTTATAGAGAACGGTTTCCTTGGTTTGAGGAACGGAGTGTTGGACCAATCAGCAATCGTCCTTTCAAAATCCGGCCACCTCACTCGCATCTGGTGCCAGGTCAGCTGAATCACCTAACAGAACCGCACTTTTCCGTTCTTTATGCTCCCCACGATCATCCACTGTTGCTTCCAGTTCCCTCTCTGTCTCCCATCCGACACTACACCTGCCCCTCCTTTCACACTGCGCCTCATTCCTAAATGCATGACAGCCTGACCACCTCTCCTTGGTTGTCCCAAATTCAAGGATCAAAGATTCATGTCGGGGGTAGCAGCAAATCTTGATCCTGCTACTCCCGAGCGTGTTTTTTGAGAATTCTCAAAAAACATGTCGGGGGTAGCAGCAAATCTTGATCCTTGGACAGCCTGACCACCTCTCCTTGGTTGTCCCTCTCCTTGCTTGTCCCTCTCCTCGCTTGTCCCTCTCCTTGCTTGTCCCTCTCCCGAATTCCAATCCCCTCTTCCTCAGGATCGTCGACACGACTTCATTCCACTCCCTGCGGGGACACCATCTGACCCCAATGAACAAGGTGCGTATGAGTCAGTCAGTATCCTTGTACGCTCAGGTTGTGAGATTCTTCAGAAGTGATACACGCATGCCCTAACGAATCACCATCTGACTTCAATAAGCAGGGTGCTGATGAATCAAACGAGGCATCCTCCCCTCCCCTGTGCCTCCCAGACCCCCTTCCCCCAGTCGCCTTCATCTTGGCTGTCTCAGGCATGCAGGCGGCTATCGTTCAATCGTCGGGCTGCAACAATCCGAGGTGATCAATTACCTCTTTCATCTGACTTCATCCTGGGTTTTACTCCACTCATCACCTTCTCTCTTTCTCTCCTCCCCTCCCCTGTGCCTCCCAGACCCCCTTCCCCCAGTCGCCTTCATCTTGGCTGTCTCAGGCATGCAGGCGGCTATCGTTCAATCGTCGGGCTGCAACAATCCGAGGTGATCAATTACCTCTTTCATCTGACTTCATCCTGGGTTTTACTCCACTCATCACCTTCTCTCTTTCTCTCCATCCCTCCCCTGTGCCTCCCAGACCCCCTTCCCACAGTCGCCTTCATGCTGGCCTTCTCAGGCATGCAGGCGGCCCTCACTTCCTCCTCGGGCTACAACAAGTGGATGTGTTTTTTAGGCTTGCCACAGAAACGCCTTCCCTTCCCCCCTTCCATGCACCTCCCAGACCCCCTTCCCCCAGTCGCCTTCATCTTGGCCTTCTCAGGCATGCAGGCGGCCCTCACTTCCTCCTCGGGCTACTACTACCAGAGGTGCCTTTTCAGTCTGCTAAAAAATCGCCTTCCCTTTCCCCCTACCGTGTACCTCCCAGCTCCCCTCCCCACAGTCGCCTTCATCTTGGCCTTCTCAGGCATGCAGGCGGCCCTCGCTTCCTCCTCGGGCTACAACAACCGTGTGCAGGAGTGCCAGGAAGCTGCCAGGATGCTTCTCGTTGCAGCAGGACTGGATGTGCCCTCCGCTCCTGTTCTTTCGCAAGGTCTGAGAGTCGTGAGGAAAGGGGGGGGGGGGGGCTTTCTTTTCGAGGCGCCTTTTTACGAGGCGCCTCAAAAGCAGGACTGGATGTGCCCACTTCTCCTGTTTTATCGCAAGGTCTGAGAGTCGTGAGGAAAGGGGGGCCTTCTTTTCGAGGCAGGGTGTGATGGCAGGGTGTGAGGCATGAGGTGGGCTGGGTTGTACATATTGAGTAGCGTGGGACTTCACGTGCCCTCCGCTCCTGTTCTTTCGCAAGGTCTGAGAGTCGTGAGGAAAGGGGGGGGGGAGGGGCTTTTTTCTACGCACCTTGAATGACCTGTCCCATATGGCAAGGTCTGTGGCATGAGGCGACTTTTGAGTCGACTTAAAAGTCACCTCAAAAGTCACCTTTTTGAGTCGACTCAAAAGTCGGCCTTTTTCTACGCACCTGGAATGACCTGTCCCATATGGCAAGGTCTGTGGCATGAGGCGGGTAGGGTTAGGCCTGGTTAAATATATCGAGCGGCGCGGGTTTGGCACATTTGAGCCTTGTGGCAGACGTGACTGTGTTTTGAGCCTTGTGGCAGACGTGACTGCAGTATCGTCTATTCCACTTGCTGTTTTCATACACGTGTGCCTGACAGCTTTGAGGCGTCTCAAACTCCGTGTGCTGGTTTCTTACCCGTGTGTCTTTTGAGGCCTCAAAAGTCGTCTTTTTAAGGCGCCGCAAAACTATTCCACTTGCTGTTTTCGTACACGTGTGCCTGACGGTTTTGAGGCGTCTCAAACTCCGTGTGCTGGTTTCTTCTTACCCGCGTGTTTTGAGACGTCTCAAAAGTCTCAAACTCCGTGTGCTGGTTTCTTCTTACCCGTGTGTCACTGACATGACCTGTGTCTTCTCGTCCTCCTCTTGCAGTGCCTCTTCACGTCTTGGAGGCCCACAAGGTAATAATATTGATCATTTCTTCCTGATTCTCAGTCGCCTTGACTTTTGAGTCGACTCAAAAGTCACCTCGTCTTGGAGGTCCACAAGGTGATAACACTGATCCTTTCTTCCTCATTCTCAGTCGCCTTTGAGCACTTCCGGAAAATACTTTTGCGATTCTTATCCACGTCCTTAAGAGCCACATGGGAGGAGGCTTCATTCCTTCCTTCTCTTTTCTTGTCGCCTCTGGCAGCACCATCTACCGGAGGCGCTGTGTCGCCGCGCCGCACACTTCTTCTCAGAGAGCGACTTCTTTTAGTCGACTCATATGTCACTTCCTTCCCTCTGCCTTGCCACTGGCAGCACCATCTACCGGAGGCACCATCTACCAGAGGCACCATCTACCTGAGGCACTGTGCCGCCGCGCCGCACACTTCTTCTCAGAGAGCGACTTCTTTTAGTTGGCTCATATGTCACTTCCTTCCCTCTGCCTTGCCACTGGCAGGACCACCTACCTGAGGCGCTGCGCCGCCGCACAACACACTTCTTCTCAGAGAGCGCGCGAGTGCTGCAGGGCGCTGAGGCTCTGCAGCAAGGCGACTGGCAGCTGTTTGGGCGCCTGATGTCGGAGTCGGGGCAGAGCTCCATCGACCTCTATGAGTGCGGTCAGTGTGGGGTGGGGGTGTGGTGCTGGTGGGTGGAGTGCGGTTAGTGTGAGGTGGGGTGCGGTGCTGGCGGGTGGAGTGCGGTCAGTGTGGGTGGAATGCTGCAGGGACCTGAGGTGCTGCAGCAGGGTGCTAAGTTGCAGCAGGGCGCTACGTTGCGCTAAGTTGCAATAAACCCCTCATAGAGTTCTGCTCAATCCTCCTGCCTCCACAGGCAGCCCACCCCTCATAGAGCTCTGCTCAATCCTCATCTTTCTCTCTCCTCTCTCCCCTCTTCCCTCTCTCCCACCACTCCCATCCCTCCGTCCCTCTCATCCTTTTCAACCACAGGCAGCCCGCCCCTCATAGAGCTCCGATCCATACTCCTGGCCACACCGGGTGTGCTCGGGGCCAGGTTCAGTGGTGCAGGCTTTAGGGGGTGCTGTGTGGCGCTCGTGGAGCGAGAGAAGGTTGCTGATGTGGCGCGCCACGTGGCGGAAGAGTATTCGCGGAGACAGCCTGAGCTGGCTGCAGCGTGTCAGAAAGATAGCATGGTGGTGGTGTGTGATATAAGCGACGGTGCTAGGATTGTTTGAACATAGGGTGAAAAGCACCTGACACTGAGTGTCTCAATGCAAGAGAACTTTTTCTAACAAAATTGTACACTCCAAGTCAGTTGCTACAATCTTCAGAGCGATATACACCAGCAGCTACTTTATTGGCAAGGCCTGAATCACATAGGTTCCAGGATGAGAATTATCCTACTTCATAAACCACTTCTTGTCAGAGAATACCCACAGCAGATCTAAGATATTTGAGCCAACGTGCTCAGTATACCATTATTACACTCCATTCGCCAAGAGTAGTCAAGGCGCGTGCAGTGTGAATGTATTGAGTGCATAATGCACACCTCATGCTTTGCTTAATGCACAGTTGTAACAGTATATTAAGTGCAGTCTATTGTTTAGAACCTGTTTATCCGCTCTGAACGACAACCCGCAGGGCACAACGCACGGCTCCGGCCCCAATGCATGGTGCAGCTCCGCTTAGGGCATTGCCTCGCCTTCGTCGCAATTTCGGCCTCAGCGCAGCTCCGCCCTCGTTGACTTTTGAGTCGACTCAAAAGTCAACTCGCCCTCGGCACAGTTCCGCCCTCACTGCATGGCGCAGCTCCGCCGTCGGCACAGCTCCACCCTCGGCGCAGCTCCGCCGTCACTGCATGGCGCAGCTGCACACGTCATCATCGTCGTCCTCCATCTCCCACCACGCCAGGTCATCCGGATGTCTCGTCTCGCTGCATTCATACAAGTTTGCAGATGGGCAAGAGGGGAGGGGGGAAAAGGGAGGAGGGGCGTGGGGATTTTGGGGGGGGGGGGGAGGAGGAGGGGAGGAGAAGGGGGGGGAGGGGGTGGAGGTGGGTGGTGGAGGGATGTTAAGAATCTTGGGAGTTACCAGAGTTGCCACACACTTGGGCATCCACAATGGGAGTTACCACGTGTTTTCGGAGTCACAATAGATACCACACACCTTTTTGAGTCAGCTCATGAGTAACCGAGTTACACCACGCACCTTGGCTCGTACTCTCGAATAGCCGTAAGCGACAACCCCGCCTCGTCACCCCACCGCACTCGCCGGCCCTTCCTCTCAGCCGTCCCATGCACGTGCAGGCACTCGATCGTGTGAGTCATGGACGGTTCTCGCTCCAGCATCGGCATCATCAGGGGATTCTTCAGGGGATTTGTCAGGGGGTTTGTAATCCATACATGCGCGCCGGACTCGTCGCAGCGGCTTCCGTCGCTCGTGCGACACGTTTCGTCGCCGGCGCCGTCACCGTCGTCGCCGTCGCGGAGGTGGGCGAGGGTGGCGGAGCGGTGCTGTAGGAGTGACGGCAGGGCGAGGAAGGGCGGCAGGAGGCAGAGATTCGCCGCATACATAGCCATAGCGGATGTTTGAGAATTCTCAATGTGTTACGGAGAACTTCCTTTAACGAAGATACTCGTTATTGAGCGCACGACTGTAAGATAAAACGAGCGCCGCAGGCGGTAAGGGTCTAGCGCTGGTGATGAGGGTAAGTGACGGAGAGAAGTGGTTACGGTAAGGAGCTAGCGCTGAGTGCGATTAGGAGCTTTGGACGAGTCGTTGGTGCGCGACTTGTTAGTCGATAGTCGGGATTTTCAACCGTGAGCTCGTAACGTTCTGTGCCCTGTGTTATGTCACTAATTGAAGGCAGAGACTTGCGTCCGCTGAGAATCTATTGTCTCGCACGCAAGCGGTAAAATGGCTGGCGTACCTGACACCGACTGAATGTGGTATGGATTTTGATTTTCGGCGCTAGCCTGCGTAATGTTTGCGCGAGATTCGTAGACTATAGTATGGTGACTGTTCTTGTCGACTGCTTTGATAAAACTGCCTTGATACCCTGACAACTCAAAACAGTTTATGTCTGCCTTATCGTTTGACTCGACAGTCTGATCAAGATTCTGAGCAGCGTAACCCCAGCCAGCTTGTACATTGGGAAAGGAGGGGTTAGAAGGGAGAAGGGGGCTGGTGCAGAGAAATTCGGCTACATTTCGCACGGGAGAAGCGGCTCGGAACTCATTGGCTATTCCGAAACTGGAAATGTCGACGCTGGCACAGAGGCGGCGCGGAGCCTCGCTGAAACTCGATTCTCTACATGAGCGCCAAGCACGGCGGACGTAATGCAAGCTCCTCACCACCCCATCTCACGTACGAGCCGAGGACCCTGCTTCGGCAGGTGTATTTCGAACTATGATTGGCTACAGATGTGAAAGCGGGTGGTTCGGTGCCTTGGGTTTTTCGAGTGATGTTTGTGATGTGCTGCTGACGTGGTTGGGGGTCAGAGTGATTTCTCCGTCGGGACTAGCGACGTGCGATGTCTGCGATTAGCGAGAAAGGATTCCTGACAAGCCTCTTTGGAAGATGCTAGCGTGCACGAATTTCGCCAACGAGTCAACGACAGACATCACTGCTACTCCAACATGCCCAACAGTCGCCAACCAGAACAGTGCCACCCCTTCAAAGTCATGCCACTCCTGGCTAGATGTTAACCATCCAGCTTATAGAAAATGTAGCAACATTTTACATTGTTGTACGGTGACTGCTATTATCGCGTTTTTTTTCATTTGCTACAAATCCACTTTCACCCAAATTTGCGCCCATTTTTCGTCGTCCTCAGCGGTTCTGCGCCATATTTGAGAAGTTCCTAGCCTGTAAGGCGTGAGCTGTCATTTATGTTCGCACTCCCGATATACCCGTCTCCTATGAATTTACTCTCTGCCTGCGCTGTAGTGTTTCTGCCGCTAACTCTGCTCGTCGTGACCCTTCCTCGAAGCGTGTCATCTGCCTCCGCGTTCCGCGGCGGATGGGGCGCAAAAACTTTCTTGACCCAGCACGGAATTCTCGCGTCGCGTCGAGAACCGTACGATAAGAGACGCTTATTCAAGCGGTTGCGTGCGAGGCCGCCTGGAACCTCTTGAGTTCTCGTTTACGGGAAGGCCCACCGCGTCGAATTCACGTGCGCAACGCACTGCGCACGAGAGAGACGGAGCTCCGGTGGGTGGACTCGCGTCGCGTCGCATGTCGCATCCAAAAAATTACTAACTTGTCCTTTTAAGTTTCATTTGCTTTCCGTTTCTTCCTTTTTCTGCCTGTGTGTCCCAATATATCTTCCTTACAGCCAGATTATTTCGAACGCTCCTACCCTGGAGGCTGGTTCACCTACGGAGCTATTTTCGACTCGCGCGTAGAAGCGTCCGATCTGCCGTCTTTAATCTCCTCGCGCACGGGCACCCACGCGCCGGCTTTCATAAGCGCGTACGCCGTCACGTCCCCTCGCCCGCTCGTCTTCTTCTCCATCCTCTGGCAACCCAACTCCAAATCCGTAAGCTCTTTCTACTCGCTCACAGCTTTCCATGTATGTATGGAAAGCTTTTCTCCTCCCCTTTTCATCTTGCCTCGCGGACTTCTACTCCAACGCTTCTCCTCTGACCTTCTCTCCCTCACGTCCTGCCTCTCTCTCCCCCTCTTGCTATCGACAGTTTGGCTGGGCGGTGCTATTCAATCTCGACGGTCCAATGTTCCAAGATGCTCTCCACCGTCAGATCGCGTCGGGCTTTAAGCCTGTGCAGGTGCACAAAGGATGGGGGTGCGTCACCATTTAGTGCAGTGTTTACGTTGTAATTTGATTGTCCATGATGCTGGCATTTTTCTTATGTCTCAGCGCCGGCGTCGTGTCATCGACACCTGCCGACCATCCGGCCCATCCCTGCCGCCCATCCCTACCAGCCCGGTCCAGGTGGAGAGCTACTACGTGTCCGGACCGAGGGGCAGGCCGTACTACCACGAGATCTACTACGCAGCCTTCTTCCTTGCTGACATGGCATGGCCAGCTGGCAGCGCACACGGGTGGAGGCAGCATTCGGCATGCCACACGACAAGAGCTACTGCTGTGGCCCCGCCTCCAGATGGTGGCGGCTTGCAGCGACAGGGTGTGGCGGGCAGATGGGCTGTAGAGGGTTTAGAGAGGGTTTTGAAGAGGGTGTCAGATAGGGGTTTTTGAGACCCCTCTTACCTCACCTCACTTCACCTCACCTCACCTCACCTCACCTCATTTCACCTTACGGAAACGCTAGGCAGTATTCCTTTCCCACTGCTTCCTTGCTCTCTCCCTTCAACCCCTACACAGTTTTCAGTCCCCTCAGCATCTCTCTCACAGAGAACCCCATTGCCCTCACCGTCTATGTCCTTTGACTCGAGTCAACTCAGCTATTCTCCCTCAGCTCCCCTCATCTCTTCGCATCTTCCTTGCCTCCCCCACAGGGTTTCAGCCCTCTGAGCATCGCCCTCACAGAGGACCCCATTGCCCTCACCCGTCTATGTGGCGGACGTGTGGAGCAACGCCCCCACCCCCGCTGGGTGAGTCTGACTTATGAGGCGCCTCAAAAGCCATCTCCGTGAGGCATCTCAAAGGACATCACTATGCGGAGCATGTCGAGTGTCGAGCGTTGTTTTCCCCTCCCCCCTGAGTTCCTCTGTACTCCCAGCTGCCGACTGCCTGGTGACTCGACGACTTTGAGTCGACTCAAGACTTACCCTCTGCCCCTTTTGCCCTCCCCTTGTGTTCTTCACTCCCTAGATGGCACACCGGGGTGGCGAGGACGGAGGAGCAGTTGCAGCAGGAACTGGCGCAGTTGCCGCATCCCCTAGTTCCCACCTACCTCAAGGCGTACACTGTTGGGCTGAAGGTGAGGATGGGGGGATGAGGGGAGGAGAGGCACATTGCGGTTCAATGCGGTACACTGGGGTTCACCGCAGCACACTGCGGTACACTGCAGTACACTGCGGTACACTGCGGTACACTGCGGTACACTGTGGTACACTGTGTACGTACCGATACCATATAATGAATAACATTCTGCTCTCGCTCTACCTCACCTTCCCCCTCAAGCAGGTCTTCTATGCATATCTAGCCCGCCCCCTCCACTCCCCCCCTCCACTCCCCACCACATCCTCATGCCCAACATCGGCCGCAGCGTAACACACTCTTCTTGCCCCTTCACCTCTTCTCCCTGCCTCCCCTCTCATCCTCCTCCCCCTACCAAGCAGGTCTTCTATGCGTACGTGGCCCGCCCTCCCACCGCTCCCCACCGCTCCCCACCGCTCCCCACCGCTCCCCACCGCATCCTCACTCCCGACATCAGCCGCAGTGGCTTTGAGCTGCTGGCTCTCTCCCTCAAGCACCCCCCTCTCCCCTCCCTCCTCCCCCTCCCGAGCAGGTCTTCTATGCGTACGTTGCCCGGCCCCCCACCTCCCCCACCGCCCCCCACCGCATCCTCACTCCCGACATCAGCCGCAGCGGCTTTGAGCTGCTGGCTCTCTCCCTCAAGCACCCCCCTCTCCTTGTCGCTTCGTTCCTGCCCCCCAAGTTCGAGGGCCATGGGAAAGTGCCAGGGAAAGGTACACTGTTCTGTGGCAGACTGATGGTGTGGGGGGGGGGGTTGGAGGAGAGGGGGGTTTAGGAGTATGGGAGGTGGAGGGAGAGGAGGTGGAAGGAAGGACAATGCCAGACGGGAAGTTGGGTGAAAGTCGCATAGCACAAGTATAGAGAGCATTACTGCACAAGTTGTAGAAGAATTCTTTGTAACATGTAACTGACCTTGTATATAATTCCTTGTATATTCTACTACCGTAGTTCAATATCGGATTATGTCAGGCATGCAAGCACCTCCTCAACTTACGTACGAGCCGAGTACCCCGCTTCGGCAGGGATATGTCAGACAATGATTGGATAAAGCTTTGAAAGCGGATGGTTTGGTGCCTTGGGATGTTAGAGGTGTTGCCTTTTTGTAACTCACCACTACCGCTATTGTTAAATCTTAGCCATCCAACTAATATACAGTGTAGCTCCCTATCTCTTTCACATTGTCTGTTTGTCTCGAGTGTTTGCATTTTCTGCAAATTCACATCCATCCAAATATCGCCCCCATTTTTCACATTTCACACCCTCTCCGCAGCTTCTCCGCCGTAGTCCGAAGAGTTCCTAGCCTGAAGGCGTGAGCCGTGCGCTCCCAAGATACCTGTCTCAGATGAATTTACACTCTGCCTGCGTTCTAGTATTTTTGCCGCTAACACTTCTCGTCGCGGCCCTTCCTCGAAGTGTATCATCTGCCCCCGCGTTTCGCGGCGGATGGGGCGCAGAATCTCTTTTCACCCAACACGGAATCTCGCGTCGCGGCGAGAACAGTACAAGCAGAGAAGAGTCTATTCGCGGTTCCGCGCGAGGGCCGCATGGAACCGCTTGAGTTCTCATTTACGAGAGAGGCGCCGCGCCGAGAGAAGAAGGCAGCTCTCGTGCGACGCGGAAGTCTCCGCATGGAACCGCATGGTTTTTCGTTTACAGGAAGTCCCAGCGCGTCGAATTCGCGCTCGCAAAGCGTTACACAAGAAAGTGACGAAGCTCCGGTGGGTTTGAACTCGCGTCGCATCCA